CAGGAAACTTGTTCAATGCCGATAATATTGCACGAACAATGCAATTAGATATACTTACAACCTTCGGTTTTGTTGACGCACGAATAGAATTTCTAACTCAGATAATTTAACGTAAATCGTCTCCAAAATCGGCGAAAAAAATAACGATTGAGCCATCTCCAAATTATCGGTTACACGGACAGAACGCGTGTAAATCACAACTTGCGAAGGCTCGAACAAATGCGTAACTAACTTTATTTCGAAACGTCCTTGGATTCTTATAACTCTCGTAAACATGTGTGAAAAGTCTGGCCTATGTACGAAGGTAACAATAAATCTTAAAAACAAATTATCACCGTCTTTTGCGGGAAGTAACTAGGCAACGCTATGAACGTGGGTTTTCAGAATATTGTATTTTTTTACGAAGAAGCAATACATTGTTCGTGCGATAGAAACGTTTGACTCACGCATATGTCCAGAAAACATGGAATATATTGTGCTCACACACATATGGTACGAATAAATAAATTTTATAGAAATCACGGGGCGATTCTTGATAGACAAAGAATGGCGCGTTATCGTGATTCCGGGTAGCACTTCACTTATACTAAATGTCTCGATATCCTTGGTTCCGTTTTTAGCTTTAAAATGATATAGATGTATTCTGGCCTCCACCTTGCTCATGCACGTCCATAGACTGTTACTTCGTCACAAAGCAAACGTGTTTATTCGTTCTATTAAAAACGCGGAAAAGTGTGTAATCTTCCTAATCTTAGTTCTATTTTATACACACAGTGTTTTTATCAAAAAAAATGTGTAACTATAGCGCTAATATGACAAAACAAAAGAATAACAAGTAATATTAACAATAATAAAATCTCACTCGAGTCGCGTTATTAAATCACATGTGCAATGGGTCAGAGATTTATGTTCAGCTATTTGGTGTGAACGACGCAGTATTTAAACTTGCATTTCTCTCTACGCGAATTCTCGAGATATTTTTAAAATACAAATGTCGCGAAAATTCTTCCGGAAGAACGGTGGAATTTCCGTTGCGCGGTCACAACCGCGTGATCTTAACGATGACAGCTGCTATTAATACGAGCGACAAAGAGAAATTCAGCCGCTGTATTAATAGCATCCGTCATCGGCCTTGAATAGAAAATTGTATAGCGGGAAAGAAAACGTAATCACGAAATACGTACAAACTCGCAAAGATCACGTCGATCGATATTATAACATCAAGAAAACGTTTCGTTCGCACGCCAGCTCACAAAACGAAAATAACATAAGTGCCGTGTATACGTACGTGTATATATTCTTATAAGAACTGTTTTTTTTCCTCATTAGTGTTTATCTTTTGCGAGAAAACGTACTCGGGAATTACTAAATGAAAATGACAAAAGAGATGTGGGAGAGAGAAAAAGAAAAAGACAAAAGCAGAGGAAACTGTAAATTAATCCGTTCTCGTGAAATTGATTTTTTCTTTTCAAGAAGGACGTAAAAAAACTTAGCGCTGCCGAATAACATGCACAGCGGCAACGATAGTTTGCAATTTACAGTGAAAAAACTCGGGAAAGTGGGGAAAAAACTATTACATAATAACGTCGACGTGAAAAAAAATTTGTAATTTATGTGGGAGAGAGGAAACCATCTTGAGAGCCGTTTTAAAAAATCGTTACGTGCCCACGATTCTTCTCAAATGTTACCACACGATAGTTCTTCCTTTGTAACGAATCTCGGTCGAAAAAAAGAAAAAAAAAACACGAAACATGTCCCTCCTATCCTTTCCAGACGACTTTGAGATTTTTTTAACAACGTATAAAAGAAAGCCGAATGTCGTTCATCAATCGCCATCCTATCCACTACGGTGAACAGCTCATACATTGGACACGGAATTTATGAACGGTCTAACGTAAAAAAGAAAAACTGAATATTTATGTACTTTCGTGCTCTCATTTCCTAGTTTTTTAACTAACGATTTTTTATAAAAAAAAAAAAAACTTATTCGACTTCTGACATTTTGCCGAGTAATATATCAAAAACAAAAAAAAAGAAACATAGTAGTACCAGAAAAAGCGTTTCTCTGCTTGAAATACGCAAAGTTGAATTCAAACTTTAACTAAATATAATGTGTACATATAAAAAAAAAAAATTACATAAAGAAACTAAAGCTTTAAGCTCTCTCACATCTCTATTTAAAAGGTTAAAGTTTGCGTAAGTTTATTTAAGATTTTCCTCGCTAAATGCTCCGGAGCAGGTATTTTCAGTTACATGTGAGATGAGGTATGAGATTAAATCTAAATTTTCTCTGTGTCATACAAAGTGAGTTTTTTTTTTTTCATTAAACAGTTCATTAAACGTGTACGCAATAAGTTTGCAACAAATACGCGATAATGTATACAAATAACTAATTGTAAGAGTAAATTGTTCCCGCGTATCGTTACTACATTGTGCATCTTCGCAATGATATAATACACAATTGACATGTATGCGCGTTGATGCGCCCACGTGGGATAGGTATAGATGAAGTAGCCTCGAGATTTTCAGGTCGATAACCATGACGTCAGTAGCTCGCGCGGGCAAGAGAGAAACAGCGAGGGAGATGGAGAGAGAAGACGCGAAAGAACTGATGAAGTTCAAGGTTACCGCGCTCGAATGCACGTCCCACGCGGAAAATAGGAAAAGAGGTCGAATGGATTTTCCAGGTCCAAGGAAAAACGTCAACGCCTAGAAGAGGTGCGCTATATCCGCAGCGGAGCTTATTAGACGTAAGAAATAACGCTTTTAAAGAAGCGCTCTTCCGATATAATCAGAGATAGATAAGATCGTTCCCCGAGATCTTGCCGGTTGAAAGTAAAAAAAAAAAAAAAAACACATCACGATTGAAAGGAAACTTTTATCATTCGAAGGAAAAACATATGAAAAGCAAACGTAAATAATTTCCGAGACGAATAAATAAACAAAATTGTTAACTTTAGATTTCAAAATAGCAAAAGTATTTTTAGAGTACGTAAGGAGAAATTCTATTGCGTCGTCCACGCGATTATGTGTCTCTCGATTTCTTAGAGATTGCGATATGTGTGTTGAATCTATGTAAACCGATGTTCGATGGTGGGTGTTTCTCAAGATGTTCCGTGACATCATTATTATATACGATAATTTACTGACTTCGCGGAATAATGACGCAAGCTAGTCAACAACATGCATCAACGTTGACCGTGTTGCGCTATCGGCCAATTGACCGATTGCGTCGAAAATTTTGACATTGCGTAATATCACACGACCGAATATGTGACTGTCGTTACGTCACGTTAAAACGTATCAGAGATATTAGAATAATAAATAGTGCAAATTTTTTCTATCGAGTCTATATTTCTGTCGTTTTTTTCTTCCGCCTACACGCGCGCTCCTATTTGTTTGATTTGTTTTTTTTTTTTTTTTTAATCGTTTATTTTCCGTTTGTTACTTGTTTCTAATTCGGAAACTTCCGAGACGCGTCGTTTCTCCAGCCGATTCCCTGAGTTTATGATCGAAATCTGTTGTTTCGATACTTAAGTGTCCTCGAAACGAAATCGTATTTGCGTTGGCACGTCCGGACGTGGCCCGGACACGCGGCCCGGACCAAGCAACCTTGAACTTACTCGTCCCCGAGTAACTCACCCTCAGCTTCCGACCCTCCGCCGCCTTCTGTCTTGCTCGCTCACTCTCTTTCTCTCTCTTCTCCTCTCTCTCTCTCTCTTTTTCTCTCTGTTCGCACGAAGAGCACGCGTATCTCAATGTGTATACGTCGTAATAAGAATGCTCTTGACAAGCAATGATAAAAAGACCGATGTTCCAAGAAAGTACGAATACATGTTTGTACTACGTATCACGAGAAATAAGAAGAGATAAAAAATATATCCATCTTTATCATGTCGCAAAAATGAGACACCATTTCTAGAACTCATTTACTCTGTATATATTCTTCGATAAATCTATCTCCGCCTCTACTCTCTCTTTCTCTCTCGCCTACGCGTTCCGCTTAGCAAAAAAAAAGTCGTCCTATCGAAGGGCGCGTCCTACCCCGGGACAATCGACAAGCCGACCTCGTGTTGCTCACGACGAACAACCGGTGTATAACGGGTTTGCCCGTGACCAGCGGAGACCTTGGCAATGGCTCACGACGACGGAGGAGCGACGGCAGGGCTGGCGTCGCGACGCAGACGCCGTGTGCGCGCGCAGTTCGCTCGATGCATCCGGAGGTCGTGCTCGCACGTCGTCCCGGCACACGCCGGGAATGACAGCCTTGACCTTATACCACAGCCCCGATGGCGAACAAGGTCCATCCACTCTTGAACGGTTGAAGGTCAACGGTGCCGCGGCCGGGGGTTAGACGAGAGGGTGAAACCGGAGAGAAGAACGGGGGCAGCGAAATCCAGCCACTCGCTCGATCTCCCTCGAGGACGCGTTAACGATCCTCAATTACCGCACCCTCGTCAACTCTCTTCGCCTATTTCTCTTTCCTTCTCATTCTCTTTCTCTCTATCTATCTATATCACTATCTCTCTTCTGTGTTCTCTTAATTTCTCTTTCTCTCTTGATCGTTACGGGACCATTCGTTTCCTTTTTAGCGCTCTCTCTCTCTCTCTCTCTCTCCTGACATGTACGAGGATTTTTACCCTCTATAAAAAGCTTTAGGACTATAAAAGGGAACGTCAAGTACCTATACTCGCGTGGGTTTATGTGTATTTTTCACAAGATAAAGTACATATTCGCGTACTTTTTTATCACTCTCGTCTACTGATTTTTTATTGTCAATCTTTCTCTCTCCCTCTTTTCCTCTCTTTTTCTCGGAATATAAGCAGAATAAAAATTATTTTTCTAAAGTGTTAATCACATAATCACACTCTGCGAATAGTTCAGGCGAATTTGCCTGATTAACACCGCATATTAGCCAAAACGAATCTAAGGATAACCTCATTATGTGCGTTTGTTCTTAATCTAACAAGATCCTAAGATAAGCAAATGATCTTCCTTACCGGTCAATGCTCTCCGCCATTGTTGCTTGTGCCCCGTTGCTCCGAACATTAATCCTTTATTCCTTCGCGATTTTGACGTTCAGGACCAATGGAAGACCACACACGACGAACAAACGTCGTTACACGCGTACATCACCACGCGTGTCCGAGGAAAACATTTCCGGCAATTATACGATCGATCGCGTTAATTACGATTCGACACTCCCGGCGGTTGTGCGCGTGCAACACTCCCAAGTCCTCTTGTTCACATTTTACGTGGTTTCGTAAACCGACGAGCGACGAAACATCGTGAAATACGGACGACGTCTTGTCTCGCGTCGATAAATAAAAAAATCTCGGCTTTAATTACGACAGATCGAGTTAATTATCATTCCACGCTCTCGTCTTCGCGACACTCCCGATCATTCGTCACACTTTACCTCGCACTTGGGACAAGAATCGCGAAAGAGATACGACTAACGTCGTCGCGCGTCGCGTCGATCGAAAAATCTCAAGTGATTTATGGCGGATTAGGATCAATTTACGCAGGCCGTAACCGAAGGCGAAGTTCGCAACAACACAACGAAGGATTTCAATGTTATTTTCTACTCACATTTTGTTGACCGAACGAAACTGTTGAAATATCAGTGTTGAATTTTACCGGTTCCGACGCAAGTCCACGGTCACAGACTGCAGATTTTAATTGTCGCGATTCTCGACATTCGCCCGTCATTTTACGGCGACACTCCCGGCTAACCGTTGCAATTACACGCGTCGCGGGACATAGAAAAGGCACAGTGTATATTCGCGGGGGGTCGCGGTTGGCATCCCTTACGCCCGAACGAAATGCGAGCGACGTGATTTGTCATCGATCGACGTGAAGTTGTCAACGGAATCGATCGTCAAATTCGAATCTCGCGAATGAGAGAGAGAGTTCATCCGTGTAACGAACGTTGGTTATCGTGGGGGAGCAACAAGCGGTTTTGCGTGACACGCTCGCTTCGTGTATTGCGTTTGAGAGTGGCGAGAATCGAGGGAGCGGGCGAAGTGACGGACGCGTGATTATCGCGTAATTAACCCGCGTGAGGTCCGCGATTATCAAGATTTTCCCAATTAACGTTGATTGACGCGTGCACGAGGGGAAGCACGATTCTTCTCCAGAAGAGATATGCGCGCGCGCGCGCGCATATCTCGCGTTGTCAAAATCGCGGATTAATTAACGTTGGTGCGAGAAAGTGTGTTGGTTCGAAAGTGTCGAAAAGTGACGCGAGTGACAGCAATTTATGAATTAATTCGCAATTAATCGAAAGATCTTCCTGAGGATTTCTTGCAGAGGAATAGGCAACGGCAAACGGACAGCAAAACACAACCTCCTCGCGCGGATGAGTGAGCGGCAGTTTGGTGAGTGAATTGTATCATCATTATTTTGCATTAGATATTTTTGTACTTTGACTAATTAGCTATTCGCGTGTTCGCGACGATTTTACTCCGTTGCGATAATAAACTGCGGTTTGTTGGAGTATCGAAACTCCGTTCTGTGGATGCATTTTGCTACCATGACAAAAAAACACTCACAATGCGTGAAATATTTTAAATATTTAAACAGACCGATATACAAGTGAGCATTAACGCGATGCTATCTCGATAATCGTGTTGCAAATAATGCTTATTTTCAAGCACTGGCACGTGCCGACCTTCGCTCAAGGATGTTTTTTTAAAAAGTTTTCTTGTCTTCGCGCATATATTTTAATATATTCATTTTATATGTTTATTTTATTTATATTTTTAAATGTTTTCGATACAAAGCATTTATGCACGCTTTTCGTGATCTGAGCGAAAAATAAATGAGCGGTAAAATATTTTTTACGATAACACATTGTATAAATAGATCCATTACTGCGGCCTTCTTTTATAAATAGACAAGATATCTAAATTTCGAGAGATACCGACGGGGCGCGCGAAGAAGTTTGCTGCTCTGTGTGCTTACGGACTAAAGTCGCATGATCGAACAAAATGGTTGTCTCGGACCGATTCTCGCGCAGATTAGAGACGGTGGAAAGTCGAGGTCGCCCTTGACGTAAGCGCCTACCGTGTGTGGATACACAAACACACACCGACGGCATATCACATTCTACGAAATACGAAAACATTTATGTATAAAAATATTTACGACGACTCATAGAGCGCAAATTAGTTGCAATAATTTACAGTTAAAAAAAAAGATCGCTCACATTCGTCTTGCATTCCGTGTGTAAAAAAATATAAATTCCGTTCGCTGAACATTTTTACTTCGCGTAGCAACGATGTGCCAATCTCACGGGAGAAGATCACGAGAAACAAATGCTTGGCGCCGCTTTGCAAAACTACGTCGCGATAAAAACAAGCGGATGTTTATTGCGTTCGAGATATTTTTACGCTTCTTAGATTAAAATTTGATGCGAATTTTTGATATTAAATCTTGTTGTTGTATTTCGCGTTTGAAGAGAATAACTTTTCACGCGCTACAACAAAGCTTAAGCCGAACTAATTTGACTAAAAAACCATTAAATATCATTGTGTGTCTGTTATGCAATCTAATATACACGTTACCACACGTGTATGTATGCGAGATCAGACATAGCCGCGAGTGCATCAGCGAATTAATTCATCTATATGAAAGCGAAACACGCATCCCACACATGCGTTATGCTGTTTTGAAGTCCTTTCCCAATATCGGAGTAGCGGCATCAATTTGGCTGCAATAAGCAGTCTCTCTCTCTCTCTCTCTCTCTATATGTATATGTACGCTATCGGCCTTGACATCGGTCGTAGCAGCTACGCAGTTGCAACACAAAGTACATTATCGATAACCCCATCTATTAGGGCGGCTGCGAATGCATCGTAAATTTAATCGACTTCATCACGATGGTTCTTTTTTTTTATTGCGGAAAAAATCCATCCAGTTTATTTCTGAATTTTTTTTTATTTTTTTAATTTTTTTTTTTTTACGTGCTTATTCACGTACGAAAAATAGAATACAATTCTGTCCCACAGATTGCTATAAAAATCTTGTCGGTGTGTTGTAATATAAAATAGAATGTCGTGCGATCTATAATTTTTATTATACGGGGGACGCGGGTCGAATCTCTCTTGGCACTCACGTATACTTACTCACGGAAATCGGTTCGATGCTACTTTCGCAAATGACGATGCATGGAACGCCGACGCAGAGCGATCTTTATAGATGCCATCGGCCTTGTCCTTGACATCGACCGCAGCGTCCCGACGCTACGCAGGCGACGGCCCGTTGGTCACATCGAGATATCTGATACGCGGAACAGCTGAGAGTATTATAAGCTCGTGGAGGGGTTTACGCGTCGGATCAAGGTTTCAAAGAGGGTATAGGAGACGAAAGTCACGTTAGTAGATAAATAGGCAATATGGATTTGTACGTATAGACACACCACTATCTTATTTACGGAATATTTCGTAAGATGACGTAAACTCTCTTTCTCTGTCTTTCTCTTGTGAAATATATTTTTTTTATAATGAATGTTTTTACAACACTTTTTGTTATCCGATAAATACAAAACAATCTACACGACGTTTACTTATCGTTATTAAAATCTAAACAATTTATCTCTTTTTGGCGGTTTTATGTCCTTTGCGACTTTTTGCGGTGCTTTGCACTTTTTTTGACGCGCGCAAATTCTTTTTGGTTCCTTTGCGACCTTTTGCATTTTTTTGCAATTTATTTTTCGCCGCACGTAAATCCTTTTTCATTCTCGGATCGACTATTTTGTATCGACCTTTCACACCAGCAGGCCTAACACTTCGCTTGCCCGCCAAGTGTTTCTTTGCTACGACATACGTAACTTCTTTCTTCGGTTCTCTAGTTGCTCTCTTATACAACCTAAATCAAATTAGAAATTGAATTAAAATATGTTTTTCGTTCAGAATCACGAAAGTTCTAAAAAAATCTCGCACTTACGCTTTAATCTGTTCGACTTTCTCTTTACCGGTGATATCCGTATTATCCATCAGTGCTTCGACTTTTTTATTGGCCTTCTCAAGTTTGCGCAGTGCACGTTTCTTTTTCCTTGCCTTGGCCTCCATTACTTTCTTGATCGGTCTGACATTCAAGTCCTCGACTCTCTTTTTGTATTCGTCGGCAAGTTCCTTAGGCACAGGCACGTCTTTTCTCATATGTTTTTCTTCATCCTTTAAAAACCAATCGGGCAATTTCTCGTCGTTGAACGTGTATCTATTCCAAGCCGAGTCGATCAAGTTCCTTCGTGATTTTTTACTTTCGATCAACAATGATCCGAGCGCTAAATCCTCGGAAGTAAGTTTTCTCTTTTTCGGTGTTTTACCTAGTCGCGATCGCACAAATGAATAATTTAGATTAATGTGACTATACATAGTATATTCTAACTTTCAATTATAAATAATCCTAAGCACTTCTGAAAAAAAAAAAAAAAAACGTCTGAGGCTGATTTTTTTCTCTGCCGAAACAAAACCTTTCTCACCTGTTTCCTTCGACGCTATTTCGAAACCGTCTTTTTTGCCAATTTTTTGTACTTTTCTTTGGGGAGCCATCATTTCTTCCACATCGTAATCTGAATTTGTGTCGTCACTTTCGCTACCATCCCTTTCACTGATGTTGCGTTTTCGTTCTTTCTTCTCATTTGTTTTCTCTTCTACATTTTTCTCCTCTCCAACAATATGTCCTCCTTTCTTTTTGTATACATCGATCATTCTATTTATTTCGTAGTCCGCGTCGTCTTCATCCTCCAAATTTTTAAACGCATCTTTCTCGAACCACAATTCTGCTTTACTAATCCTTTTGGTTTTTTTGTCTCGGAAATCTAAATCGGTGAGCAACGGATTGCTATCAGGATCTACAGATGGTTGTTCTATTTGCGGTTCACTCGTACTTTCGTCTTCGGAATCCTCTAGATCTATTTCGCAATAAAGATTTATTATAAATTTGAAAAATAAATAAAAAATAAAAAATCTTAAATTAGTAGAAAAAAAAGATTTTATCACTAGACATATCAAAAACTAAAGTTTTACTATATTTATAATAAATGTAATACCTAGTCTAGATTTATCGCTGTTAATATTGTCTGATTCAGCGTCACTATCATTTTCCTCACTGTCTTCCGTTTTATAATATAAACCTTTACTATCCAAGTGACCTGTATCTTTTTCATAACGAATCATCTTCGGCTTGACAATCTCATCATCCGAGTCTACATCACTTTCCGCTAAGACATCAGGTGTTTGGTTTGTCAGTTGTTCCAATTGTTGATAACTTTGAACTTGGCTTAATTTAAACATATCATCTCCTTCTAATTTGGGTCCTTCGTCATTTTTATGAATCATTTTCAAATTAAGACGTTCGTTCAGTTTTTGTCTTTCTTTTATAGCTTTCTTTTTCTTGCGTTTTAACTCTTTCATCTCCTCCGCTCTGAGCTCAGCGATTTGTTTTTGAATTGCCTCATCTTCCAAATCCTCTTGCTCTTCCAGACTTGTAGTTATCTCTGCAGTTTTATCTTCAACTTTATCCTTTTCTTCTGTTTTATTCTCTTCCTTGTTTTTAGTTTCTGTTTCTTTTAATGCCTTCCACCACTTGAGCAGAAGCTTCAAATCCTTTAGACCAAGTACCTTAATATCCTTGCAACATTCTCTAATTTCTTTAGTCGTTTTCTCATGCTTGTCGATGATTTCGTCATCTATTACTATCTCAGAAGCGTTCTGCAGAGCCTCTATCGCATTTTCACAAGCAATGAAATCTTTCGCAGATAATTTGTGATACAACGTGTAATCATTCGTAGGATATCCTTCAGCTTTCTTTTTCTTCTGTTTTTCCGGATGAAGAACATTTAAGGTATTTTTTGGTTCTATTTCCAATTCAGAAAATACATGCTTTGGATCAAAGAACTTGGGATCTAGTTTATCTGGCGCGATGTAATGTTGACAAACCACAAAAATTTCTGCAGATTCGTTACGGGAAGCTTGAGGTTTAGTGGCATGTACCTACATAAGTAAAGTGTTAGTCAAATCATATAAACAATGATCAGTAAAAATTCTTTTAAAAATATTAATACCTTTTTGAATAGCTGTTTTAGCACCCAGAGCAATGGATTATAATCTTTAGATCGAAATATTTTTGTTACAAACCAACCACCTGCACTTAAGAATTGAGTAGCTAGTTTAACGGCTGATAATGTTAAAACAGCCTGTTGATACGCATCATGAAGCCAGTTCTTTCCCACATTGGGAGCACCATCGTGTAAAACAACGTCAGCTTTCCATGTCTTTAATTCACGTGAGATAGTTACTCTACACTGATCTGTTGTAATATCTTCTACAAGACTGATACATCCTGGGACAGGTTTTATTGGAAACAAATCCACTCCTATAACTATAGATGATAGTGGCATATTTTGTTTGGCAACTTGCATCCAGCCACCTGGTGCTGCGCACAAATCGATGCATACTTTTGACTTTTGAAGAAATTCAAATTTACGGTTTAACTGAATCAATTTGAAAGCAGCACGTGATCTGAAACCTAAAAATGTTTATTAATACGATTAAACATTTGAGTTAAATACAGTCATTGACTCTAATACTTTAGTAACTTGATTATTCGTGTATTGATAAAATTACACACCTGTCTCTTTTGCTAATTGATAATATTTATCTTTTCTTTGTTTTCCGATCTTCTTTTTCGCCATTTTTAATTACTTTATTATTTTAAGTGCTATCAGTTCTTTTTCATAAATATACAAAATCTGTGCGTGAGATAGAGTTGGAACAATACGAAATAGGTTAAAAACGCACGTGATCGAACATGTATAATCGTGTTCTGTTCTTTTTAGCTGTACTTTTTGTACTTTGGCTTTCTTTTCTCTCTTTTTCTCTGTTCTCCTGTTATGTATTTACTATTTTTCAGCATTTAATTACACATACATTATGTTTATTTATTTATTCATTTTTATATAAAAGTTAACACTTCATATATATACATATATATACATTTACATAACAAGAGTGCAGATGCATATACAAAACTAAAAGACTAGATACTAGAAATGTATTACCAACACAACCACGATACTTGTTGACTTTCTTCACTCGCTCATTGACGGAAATGCGAAGTTATCCGACATTTCAATTGGCTCGTCGTAGAGAATTTTGAAATTTATACAGTTCGGTGTCACGTGAATAGGATCATTTGACGTTGAGATGATGTCAAACTGTTTTTTCATGTAAAATTTGCAGTAAAATTCGTAAATTTCAGTGTTCTCCAAACTTCCAGAGCGCTCGTCTTTGTGATGTAGCGCGTAAATCCAATTTCGCAGTAGTAAAAGTGTTGATTTTATCTCTCTCGGTTTTAACAACTTTTTTCTCTCGAACTAAATTACGTTTTATCTTTTTCTTTATATATATATACATATATATATATAAAAGATTTGAGAAAAGAGAAAAATGTGGAAATGCGTAGTCCGTGGAATTCGAGAAACGTTAGAGCGACGTGGTGTTTGTCGCACCAACATATACTCACAGTCATCACAAGATAACTCAAAAAATGACGTCAAAACAAGCTTGACATGTCGACAAAAATTTCTTCCTCCGATTTTTGTCTCTTGTGACAATGGTTTTTGCGGATCGGCCAAAAGTGCCGGAACTAAAAAAGACAAGAAGCATAATTCTGAATGGAACACCAGATATAATTGGTCAGAAGCATTCAGCTGGGTAAATGTTTTCTCAAGTAGTTCTATATTATCCAATATTTGTTGTGCAACTTAAAGCAACACTATGACTTATATTTTATTAGTCTAGCGCATTGGCAGCTGGATGGGTTGTGTGCCAAACACTTTGCCTGCACAAGAGAATCTTTGACAAGAACAACAAGGAAAATTTAAAACCCAAATGTGGAATTTCTTTTCTCACACAAAAATTAAATTTACAACCCAGGAATATTCTGCCAGTTACCAACTGTGTTGGTAATGAGGATAACAAATCCAGTTTGCAAAACTCAGATTTATGGAATGTAGGAAAACCATTCGATCCCGTTTCTGAAAAAGTGAGAATTTTGCTCTAGAGAGACATGATATTCAATAATTTTATGTATATTGAAACTTTAAGAGAAAAGATGATAACTTGAAATATTGACTATGTTACATACTGATAAATTCTATGTATCTTTAGGCGTTTGAAGAAGTTGGTAATGAATTTACAAAGGTTCATGATGCAATCGTAGGAGAATATGAATTTCGAAGTGGTATACATGCTTTGAAGGAAAAACGTTATAAGGATGCTTTGATGCATTTTTCCGAGGGTGCCAAACTGTCATCTCCTGGAAGTATGTTCAATTTAGGCCTATGTTATGAATTAGGTATTGGAACTTCAGTGGATCAAAAGAAGGTACATTCAAATATGCCAGATAATATTTAGAGTTCTTTCTCTCTCTTGTGAATTGACTCCAGATTGAAGTGGAGGGTAGTCAAAGGAGTTTCTTCTTCAGATATAGAAAAATTGTTGAACATTATATGAAATTGCAAACTTCTTTGGAAGATAGACACAAATATAAAATATATTTGTAAAAATGTAAAAATCTTTCTTTAGGCTGCCAAGTATTATAATGATGCAGCGACGCACGATCATGCTGACGCATTGTACAATTTGGGAGTTTTCCATGCTCAAGGAAGGGGTGGATTATCAGTCAATATTGATGCCGCGCGTATTTATTTTACCAGAGCGGCTAAGTTAGGTCAGAAACAAGCGCAACATGCACTTGATTTAGAAAAAGCAAAGACTTCGTCGAAGGAAACTACCATCTCCGTTGTACCTCATATCGACACTATGCTCCTCAGATTAGTTAATTCTACATTAAGTACGAAATTCCTTGCAAATTATACATTGAGCACAAGGTTTCGTACAACATCTAAGCAAGATCCTTGCACAATCAAAACGCCAGAATATAACGAAAACACGATCCAAGACCCGACCCAAATGTTCTTAGATCTTCTTGGCTTAGGGAAACCTAGTAAATCACCCATTACGATAACCACCAACTGTAAGGTGCCATGTTAAGAAGTGAAACGTATTTTTGTTTGTATTAACGTACGTCACTTTACTGTAAAACCCTATCGAAATCACGTTATGTGGTTAAGTGATACAACTAGTTTAAGTTTTACATAGTATTATTGTTTTCATACTATATGATGCGTTTGTTTTGATATGATAATTTTACAAGAATACACACATGTATTCAGCAAACCACGCAAGAATGTCCACATTTTTACACACAGAGATCTTGCATAATTAACTATACGTGTAAGAGCAACATTGATGCTGCTCAGTTTATAATATATGTGTGTATGTGTAAGATTCTGCTTTAACTTGAAGCACTTTTATCTACAAGTACGCGTAACATGACTTTCATTAATATCACACGATTCAATTATATCCAGAAACAAATGCATACATATTATTTCATACGTATGCGCAAATCTTAAAAACTCTCCTCTCCGTTGCATAATTGTTTTGTTTTTCTTTTTGTTAAGGTTGTGAACATAATTTTATTTTTATGTGCTGCGTTACGTTGATAAGCGTATCGATGATTTCAATATGAATTTTACGACTATGTTATGTATACATCTACTTACTTGACTCATAGTTGAGTTGGAACATAGCTGTGATGCATGCTTGAAACAAAAAAAAATTTATACACGAAGATACACCTGATATTAAAGTGAGATTTGAACATCGCAAATTTTATGTACTCTCGCTTATAAACTTTCATATCCGAAAATGTATCGATTATGATACAAAGTAGAGTGTCGATATATTTTTGACAGGTATATGTATGTATTTTCGTCGAATCTTACTCTTTGAAAAATCTCATTTTATCAATTAAGATAATCGTTTATTAGATTTAAGATTCATATATTGGTACAAACAATAGTAACGACGTTTGATTTGTGCGTTGCACAAATAGCGTACATACAGATAGTACGTACAATAGTACAAAAATAAATTTTTTTTTATATAGAAGTTGTAAATAATTTTTAAGAACACGTTCCTTTCTTCGAGAACAACTCATTGCAATCAGGAATCGTACGTTGTGCTTTACCAGTGCGCGTTGTGTTCCAATACAGTTTTTCTTATAAATTCGCTGTGATTAGCGTACAAATTTATTTCACAATTCACGTCCATCCATCTTACGTCGCGCGCGTCGTCCCCAGCCTTCAATGCGAGTTTTCCGATCACGGCATTGTCCTCGTCGTGAAAATTTATAGCCACCGTCTCCATCCAAGCGTTATCCGTATTTCGCGGATCGTCCACGTATCCTTTGTAAATCTCCTTTCCTTTTGTGAAAAATTCCTTTATAGAATTTTGAAGGGTTTCTTTTTCGGTGTCATTTTTTTCCAAAACGTTCAGCGCTTCTTCCATAAATTCTCTCATTAAAGTAGCGGAGACCGTCTCTCCTGGATCGACCATACCTCCCGGTATAGCCCATTCTCCGGAATCCCTTCTTTGTATCGCGACGAATTGCAAAACTGGTTTTCCCGTGTGCTCGTCCGTTTGTACAGCTCCCGTGTTATCGCGTTTCCATCGTGTAACGATCGGATCGGCAGCGTGATTCGGTCCCCATCGACCTAGGAGCCCTCGACCAACGATACCGGTCCGTCCCACAGGGTTCAAAGGATAACCATCCGAGTTTACGACGTAATCGCCCGTGAAACTTTTTCGATTCACTTTACCTGTTTGCATAAAAAATCATATCAAATATAGCGCCGTAATATTTTGTCTGCACATGCGCAATGCTGTTCTAGTATAAATTTGTTAACCTTATTAAATATGACATTTTCTATTGATTTTTCATCTCATGTCGGTTTCTTTTAGAATACGATAAATGTCCACAATTGATTGTTAAACAAATCAAAAAAAAGATAGTTACCGTCCAAAACGTTCCATTTTGGTTTGAAACAGGACACGTGTATATCCGGATCGGCCCAAGGTTTACCCAGAAGAGCAGCAGCATTGTATTCCACTGGTTTATAATCGGCATATTCGACTGTCCACGGAACTTTCTCTTCCGGTACTGCAAATCGTTTTACGTTGCTGGACGGATACAAACCCTGTCTGCACTTTTGGTGAAACATTCTGACGCATCTGATACTCATTTAAGAGAACCTTTTCTACGAGGAAATCGATGCAACGAATACATGCTTATTTTGTGTGATACTTGTTTGTATTCAGTAACGTAACTATGTAACGATTTGCAAATCTCATATCAAGTATTTGTCTGTGTTTAAGCGGGAATTGAAGAAAATAATAAAAATTTTTCTCGTTAAATTGTGTCTTTTGAATAAATAATTTTTGAATATCTAAGATGAGGACAGGATATAAAGGAAGATGCACATTACAAGTAGACCATTTTTTTTATGTTGATTTAAAAATGTATATTTTATATCACTTTTTAGTTAAAGTGCGGCAAAATTAAAAACTCAGAATTACAATATTACATATTAATATTATACTGTTGTCTGACTGTTACACATACATCATATTTTTTCCTCAATCTTTTAAAAACACAAGTTCTACATGACAAGTCATAATTGTCATTTATTTAACATGACAATTTTTTTCTGACAACAACATGGATATTGTTTTATGTCTAGTGTGAGATGAGAAGAGATGCATGTTTTTTTTTTTTTTTTTTTTTTTTTCTTTTTAAATACGTACGTTGTACGATATTATTAAAAAATATATTGAATACATTGAATATCATATCTATTTAAAAACTTACTTTGTAAAATAAGTTTTAGATGAATATGTAAAACGAATCTATGTAAAATTATCTTATAGTTTTTACTTCATTTTTCTGGCATATATATGGCATATAATATTAAAATACGGATTTCATACACTTCATATAGCAACACAAATTAAATATTACATATATTTACAAACTTTATCTTTTTCTCTCCACTATGCATTTATGTTTTCTCGTATGCATGCAGATATTTGCAAATTAAGTATTCTCTTTCTTTTGTGATAATCTGCTTAATTACACATGTAACTTGCCACAAATCTTGTATGTGTATTTTTATACGCTGGAAGACTAGATCAGAGAAGAGAAGTATTTATAAATTTAACAAACTGTGCATGTATATAATAATACTTATCTACTTAGATTGAATAAGATGTTCATCTAGAATTATCTGAATAGATATTTTAATCAATAATACTTGACGTGTGACGTATTATTAATGCCCACTCTTTAAATTAGTTCAGTGCTTGAAGTGACAATCGGAGTCTGCATTTTTTGAAGAGTTAAAATTTCTATGTCCAACAATACGAATATAAATATAATTTAAAACATTAAAATTTAAAATTTTGAAACTTTGTTTTAGTAACTTTTTTATCTATTCTATCAAAAATATATATTATTATACATATATATTCTCTATAATTACATATATTATGTGTTCTTATAAACAATTTATGAAATTTGTCTTTTTCCTTAAGAATTAAGGACAAGATAAAATCAAATAGTTCGATAATGTTTTGAGAAACATTATATTATTTGTCAAATGCGTAGCAAACGTTATATTGTAATCTATACACTTCAAATACTGAAACAAACTAATTTTTTAAACAATTTGAATGTATAGTCTATTAAAAGATCTACGACTTTTCTATAAAATTCAATTGGAATAAAAATCGTTATTCTGTTGCAAAAAGTTTAATTTTTTTGGATCTTATGAATACTTAGAGTAAGATTAATAGAATTAATTATTGTCAATACCTTCTAATTCAGTCGTTTCTTAGTACTTTGTTACTTGACGGATAAGCGTATGACATTCTCGAAAAAATTATTCTGGACTAAGATATCGATCAAAAAGCCAAAAGACAAAAAGTACTCATCACTTTATAAACGAACCTACACGCGAGGCTCAAAGATTTTTTTAAACGTTCAATTCATAATATTCAAAACACTTTAAAGTATCTCCTTATTTTTCTGGTATAGCTTAGAAAGTTTCATTCTCTCCAATTAGCTGTTTTGTTTCTTTTTTAGAAAAATTATCGTTTTTGTAATTTGATCTTACGCGAGAAAGTTTTTCTCAAGATAAAGAACATTGCCAAGAAAAGCTCATTACATATCAACTGCTTTTAACTGAAAACATTTATTATTCTCGCGTACACGTAGTTCTTTTTTTTTTTGTAACAATCTCTTATTAAAATGATTAATTTTCAAATCTCGCACAGAAATGTGCGTGCTTGTTTCTCGTCGTGTCGGACAATTCGACTCGAACTTACGAATTCATTTTACATCATAAACAGGTCTTTTATCAAACGCCGTGATCGAATTCGTGATATCCCTCTGCTCCGGTAAATACAACGTCGACCCAAACACGCATAGCTTCAGGACTGGGCGCCATGAGGTGATAAAGTCTGGAGGAAGTCTTGACGATGAAGGTGAGAGAAGGTTGTGGTGATCGGACGGTGTTCATATGGTCCACGTAGACTTCTTCGATCGACTGCAACACATATATCGCGCAGTTAGTTTCACTGTTAAATTTCGAAACTTAAATCTTAGAAAAAACTTCCTTACTTGGAAGTAAATTACGCCACGTGCTTTACGGGACGTGTTGTCGCTATAGTAAGACAACGTTTTCCGTTTGCGATCGAAGACGAACCATCGCTTGTTCCAATGATGAAACTTCTTGCTCATCTTTGACAAATAGCCACTGCAACTCGTCGTATCCACCGTAACATCATAAATCAGAGGTAGCTGATGTCCGGCAGTTTCTATGTGATGCCTGAGATCAAGAGACTCCGATTTGATGGGAAGATATCTCGTGAGTGGCCTCTGTAAAATTACTTACGTTGATTCATTCACGGGATAAAAGTTGGGAAATTGGATTTGTTTTAGCTTAGAATTTTCTACAGCGAGTAACTTGACAATCGGAATTTCAGAAAATTACCTGAAGTTTTGCCTTTTCGCGATGTTTGACAGGTTGTAGTGATCCAAGCGTATCCATCTCGCTGGATGTTTGAGAAAGAGGACGACTTCCGCTCCCATCAATAACGCCGCCACCGCCACCGCCGACGCTATTATCGCTAAATCTCTCACCTTCCATCGATGTTCTTCTGTCGTCTCTCATCTGAAACAAATATCCGCGAAGTCTTATTAGACAAACTTAAATTTTTCATACGTTCAATCTTTGCGTAAACAAATAAATAGGAAATTAAAAAATTATATTTTACTCAAAAGTGTTTGAAATATGTGTTTGAAAAAATTCGCATTTGTAACAAACGACTGATGGATTAATTACAATTTCATTTTTGCATATATGTTTGGAAGTTTCACGTTTTCGTCTGACGTTTCGCTTCTTTGTTCTGCTTCTTATATAGTTTATCCACATGAGCGACATCTCTTAGTACAATTCGCGCAACTTTAATGTATATTTTACGAAAAATATAAAATAGCAACTGCCGCGCAACACACGCCGGAACGTCGTTTCGTTTGTACAGATCTGAACAATTGACGGGAGTGAACTGATGCTGGTGCCTCGAAGGTCCAGCGGTATGATTCCCACATAAAATGTGACTCCCACTCGCTCAACCGCGTGAGCTTTTCGTGCACCAAATTCGCTCGGTTCCGTTTGGTCATTCATTCATAGAACGTGATGACATGTGTCGAGTGCGCGACACAAGTCGCGCTACGTGAGATGAAATGCGACATTGTTCTCCATGTGGCACATAATATATATATCAACAATAACAATACTAATCAAATTCATATTAATCTAATTGCGGCGTTGCGGAGATTATTATGTTGTGGATAATGGATTTTAATAGATCGATATAGAATATCGTATTAAAAACACCGTGTGTGAAAAATTTCGTTCAAACGATTGCTGGATTGGTAGTAGTCAAGTGACCCAACGAGACGAGATGAGAAATTCCGTCAGCTCGGCAAACGCGATATGACTCACATTACAAATAGCAATTTACTGCCGACATTTCACTTCAGACTTAACTTGGTTGTTAAGTAGTAGGAATGCAAAGGAGAAATACGAGAGGTAAACACTTCTTTGAACGATGAAAATAGGGTGTGTTAAACATTTAATGCTTACACGTGAAAATTTCTATTCCCGACAGTACGTAGTAAAGGATTTACACATGGTTTTGTGTTCGATTAGAGAAGTTTAGTTGTTAGCGTCTATAAATATCAACAAGAAAGAGGTCAAATTGCAAAAGAGACTCGCGAATCCCAATTCTGCCATTATAAATTATCGCTGTAAGCCTAATCAAGATCTTACAAGAGCTTATTTATCGAAGCAGAAGTCTACTGTCTCTCGAACGATGTCCAATGTTTTGGCACACTGGAGGGATGCTAGATGCGTATTACACCGGGGAAGCACACGTGTGTGCTATGACGAAAACACTTGCTCCAGAATGCAAATATAGTTGCGAAATGTCAGTGTGTTGAAAAGCGCAAGTTTTCGACACTGCCGAAACGACACGCGGACTTCCGCCGGCAACGAATGTCTTGTTTTCAATATACGTTTTCAAGAAACTACATTCTAAGAGATCATCTCTCTCCTTTCGACCATCAAAACATTTTCATGGGAAAAACAAGCGCTTATCTCATCACGTGTACGCTGCATTTAGCGCAATTGACATGCGGGTAAATATTTCTTTCATAAAGATAGAAACTGGCTTCTTTGAGTTGTTGAAACTGACTGAAACAATTTTCTACGTACATTTTGAGCATTTAAAAAAATCACATTTGTTGTGAACTATTCTGTATAAATGTACACTCGCCCACAGAATTGTCCGAAGACGTAAAGCGGCTATTCTTTGTATTTGGCTGACGCATGTGAGTAAAATTTTTGGGAGAAATCACAAGACAGAATAAATAGAATGGAAACTGAACAAATGTGAACGATACCTGTTTTCTAAGGACAAAATATATAATCCAATATTGCGTGTGCACGTCACGTACAGAATGAGAGATTATTATTTATTTAAGTCGGATTTACTTGATTTAAATGCAATGTCGAAGATTCTCGCAAAAAGATTTGCATAAAAAAAAATAAAAATAAAAATCAAATTCGATAAAAAATTATGGTCTGAAAAAGTGTTTTTCTTACGTGTGAAGGTCAATAATGCCGTTTCGCACGATGTTCACAGTCTATAAATTCGCGACACAAATGTGCTTGGCGCGAGAGAGAAATCTCGCTTACGTGGACACTGAAAAATTTTAGAAGCAAGACTGTCGAGAGACGCTTCTTTGAACAGGTGTGCGATAAAATCCGTATGAGCAGAAATAGACTGGAAGATAGATAGATTCTCGCGTGATGTTTTGTATTGTATGTTTGTACAAACACATGTGATCGTGTTTAATAATATTTGACTGGATTATTATTTGACATTCAATATGTGTTTCTCTTCGGAGAAAGATTAAAGTTTTATATGTACATATATTAACGTATATATAATATGTACACATATTATACATTTAAAAATATTACTTTAGTGAATAAAGTGCTTCTTTTTGCATTATATAAATATTTGCACAATCTTTTTCTCTTATAAAAGAGATTATAAGAGAGATTTCTTTCTTATAAAAAATTAAGAGATATAAAGATAAATTTGTTGAAATTTATTATATTATGCACTGTGTCGTACTCACGTTTTCATTTTGAAGCAAACTGTAAGAATTATTCGACGGTCCTGGACTGGGTGATGTAAGATCCGAAAGCTTATTGGGAGATAATTTTTCACTATTTCCACTGTCCGCACCGTCGCTGCTTCTGCTACCACTAAAATAAAATAAAAAATAATTACTTCCACTATTAATAACATTACTTACCATGTACATATTTATACATTATACATATATGTATACGTAAAATAATTAAAAACTCTTTTTAGTTGTGAATATATAAGAAATTAAAGATAAAATTCAATTGTTATGTTTTTTTTTTTGACATGTATTATATTGTAGATCTTTGTACCTATATGTGTACGTATATATACGCGTATATACGCACATATACACACATTATGTTTATGTTTTAGTTACGTTATCGGATATAAAACTTCTCACTGACACATTTAATGCGCTCTATTATTAACTGAAGTATAAAATTCGCGAAGTTCGTTCGGCGTTTTCGACATCCTCGTGGAAAGAACGCAGGTGCACTCTGAGAAGCACGAGCCTAGCTTCTGACCATCGCGAGACTGAAGAGAGAACGAGAGATACCTATAGTCGACTACAGCGAAAGGCGCAGGTATTATTAAAACCTAACAAGTACAAAGTGACTCGGTAGACCGGTTCGACGATACCACCGGCATAGCATTTAATTCTTCTACAATGTTAAATGCAGCGCGAACGATACCAGAACATTCCGATCTCGTTGCTACGCCAACCTCGGCCTTGGCTAATTAAAAACATTTTCGTATTTTCTCGATATAACCCGCTTCTGATTCTAATATTGTTCATCTTTTTACATAAATATTTTCCTTTCCGCCTTCTCAGTGACGGTTTTACCAACTAAAAGCATTACATGTCGCACACATTTGTATGCTTTTCATTCAGAGAGAAGATCTAATTCTAGTCTTTGGCTAAGTCAGAACAACTACTCTCACTAGATCGTCGACATCACGTGCGTACTACGTATCGTAAACTAATTTTAAACGAGATCTAACTTTGCTATAGAACATTCAATGCTATTAAAAAAAAAAAAAAAAAAAACACTATCGTTACTTTTTATTAAACGTAACGATATTGTGATCTAGCAAGTAAAATAATTAGATTATATACAAAACTTTAGTGCAAATAAAATATTTTTAAATTATAATATAATAACGTACTATTTATTTTTAAAAATAAATTTATTAATATTTTTTATTGAAATTTCCAGCAATGTTTATTAAAAATATTTTATACTGACAATCAAAAACGATGTTGACAAATTATAAAAATAATATGAAAATGAAAACATAGCTACATAGATTACAGACTAGTTATCTCTGTTTCCTTTTCTCTTTTTTTTTTGTCGTCTTCGGATGCAGCTGTTCTACGTACTTGTATCACGCGTGTTAGATATATTACGACGCATTATGAGAGGGTCGGAAGGTGAACGTTGCTCTACTTTTTGCAACATGTCGTGCTATGTCGGACTTATTTCATCTTGATTCTAACGAGAAACGCACATTCGTACGTATATTATTATTGTTCTAACAAGTAACATCGCATTTTGTGTTTTATCTTATTATTATTATTTTATTATTATTTTATTATTATTATTATTATTTTTCATAAAGTACAATACAATATTGTTATTATTATGTTTTAAAGTAATTCGTGATTTAATTAATGTTCTGTGTTTTAATCGCAAAGATAATTGACATCGCAAAATGTGATTTTTAAATTAAGAAATGTAATTGAAAATTTTTTGTTTATTAATATGTCTGACAAATATTAATTGATCTGAAAAGATCAATGTTTTTGGGTTATCTCGTAAATTATTTGACGCTCGTGATAGAAAAGAACACAGACGTTTTTTTTTTTTTACAGAAATCAATAACTCACACACAATGTTGACAGACACCTCGCGTGCGAGTTTCTAGAGAACGGTAACAATTGTTGCAAACCCAGTCTTTAGTGTTGAGGTAATACCGATTGCTAGTTAACAAAGTGATCAGATTGCATCCCGTAGATCTGGCTTCATTCAGCATCTTCTCGCCTATTTCTCTGGGATCCATTTTCGAAAAATTGATCGATAATATCACATCACATGTTAAAATTCTTTATGTTGTGGCAAGTGGTTATTTCCTCGATCGCAATTTTACGTCGCGTTACAACGTTTCCAAATATTTCCGCATTTTTCGTCGATTTTCCACTTTCAGTGCGCGACACGTTAAAGCCAGTAGAGTCACGGAAAGACATACTGCTACACGTAGATATCGTATCGCGCGATAACGCCCCGCCTACCTTATACCGGAGCGAAGACTCGAGTCGAGTGTCGATCAAACCGACACGATACACGCGACCCTCTCGCACGCGAGAGATCAGCAATTGCTCTTAGTGGTATCTTGGATAATGACAATAATATATTAATAGTGTAACTAGTGCAGTAACGCTAATTCTTCTGAATTTCAACAAAATAATTTCTTCGAGTCAATGTTTTTCTCGTAAAATTTACTCAATTGTTTTTTTTTTTTTTTTTTGAGATATGACGAGAACAATTTTTCCGTTTCTCGGAAAAATGAAAAGACAAAAAAAAGCGAAGAGATGCGTTCCATTGTCGAATACCTTGTATTGGTCGAATACCTGGGTGCTTGTTTATCTATTTACGCCACTGATTGACAAGCTTGAATTTTATCAAGCCTGTGCTTAACTGTGACACGCTGGTGTACACAAGGTGTGTCGATGAGACAGGTTTCGTAATGAGCATCGATCAACACAGTGAAAAGAACGTTGTGATTAACTTGCGCGATGATGTGTTTGCATTTCGCATACTTCTTTGTGCAAATCGCGCACAAAGAATACATTTGTGCGCAATTTTTAATTGACATAGCAAATGTTCATTTACAACGGGATAACGTTCACGTGCAAAAGTATGCGGTATATATATATATTTAGAATATATATTTCAGAATATTGTTTCCGAGAAAGAGATTGTGTAAATGAAGATTCGTCGAATCAAATTTGCTATAATTTCTTCCTAATAATGTGAAAAATAATAAAATTAAAATACTCATTACAACAACAATGCGCTGTAATCGCGAAAAAATTGCCAAATAAAAAACATTATTCACTTTTCACGACTCACCTTTCCGTCGGTCCAGTCGAGTAACTTGACGATTCCTCGCCAGATTCGACGCTGTTGAAAGACGTGCAGTTCAATTTTCGTTCCTCCCACTGCGAGCGAACCTCGTCTTGTACTCTCCTTTTCAATTCTTCAACTCTGCGTCTTTCTTCTGAAATTACTTGACTTCCTATAAAGAAAAAAGATTAATATTTTAATCTGGTCATTTTTTTTTTAACTCTCTTCAGTAAGACTTACGAGTCGACATAATTTCGCACCTTGCTTAGCTAAATGAAGCTGTCGATTTCTCTCGATTTCTTTGAGGGATTCGATCGTCTTTCTTCCCAAACTGCCCTGATTGTTTACTATCGGAGAATCGTTCGTTACTCTGGAGATCCTGTCGAAGTCTTCTCTGCTCGGAGATCGTTTCTCTTCGGAACATTCGGTTGAGTTATGCGCCAGATTACTAAGTTCCTCGTTTATCTCTCGTACTCGATTTCGTGCCTGTCGCATAAATGGAAGTTCGATCGCTTACGTAACTGATAAAAAACTTGAAAACAAACATTAACCGACTAAAACGCAGTATACAACGTATGAGATAGTCGAGGTTCTTGGAATAAAAATTTTATACATATGAGATAAGAGCGGCGTATTTATGACTCGGTTTATTACTCATTTCTTTAAATAAGATTTAGCAGATTAATGTTTCGTATAGTTGAATTATTTTATATACCGACCTCTTCCAATCGCTTCAAATGACCCAATTTCTGTCTCTCAAGACTTCTAGCCTCTTTGGTCGCCATGTTCTTCACCTCGGATCGTTGTGATTCCAAGTGATTCAGTTGCAACCTTCTGCCTTCGATCTTGCTCGTGAGTTCGCTCAAATATCTAAAAAAACGTTCGTCGGAGATGTACACGTGTCTCGACACAAGTCTAGAAGAAACCAAAAAAAAAAACAATTGCATTTTTCGATAAACGTACCTCTGCAGCTCTTCTCTCGTAGCCAATTTGCTCGCTTCTTCTTCGAGATGATGAAACTCCAAGTCTTCGAAAGCTTTCCTTTCGCTCTCGAGCACATCTTGCTGCGCTGCCAATTTGTCGGCTAGATCCTGCTGCGTGTTCTCGTCCGTGCAATTGCCTAATTGTTCATCCAGTCGAACACAAGCTTGCTGTGCTTTTTGTATCCGTTGCTTCGCCTCGGTTTGCAAATTCGAATGAATCGCGTTGTCATCCGCCATCTCTCTTTCCAATTCATTTATTCGCATTTGCACCTTTATCTTCTCTCCCTCATCCTGCGTGAGCTTCAAGGATTCCGATTCGTACTCCGCGGATAAAAGCGCCTTCTCCAATTCGAGCTGTCAAACAATAAGCGTACAAGTAAGTAAATCAATTTTTCAAACGTATCTTTTTTTGTGGGCAATGAACATTAAACGAAAAAAAAAAAAAAACAATAACTATAAAAACCGCAAGCAAACCTGATGAAAGATTCGAAATTTTTCTCTCGTCTATGAAAATATAACTACAAGCTCCGGAAAAACTTAAACGTAAATAATTTAGATCCTAATTTGTATCCTACTGTGTTTTAGCAATAATTTTGTAATTAAATATAAAAAAAAGATAAAAAATATATCTTAATGTTTAACGAGATACTTACAATCGGTCTTAGTATTCCGTGTCCAGAAAGAGACAAAAAAACAAATACAACTTGTTTAAATATATACGACGTGTTTGAGATATACAATATAAAATGAAGTAACAACACAATTACGTATCGGAGCAACGTAAATAATGAATTAATGAACTCACCTCTCTGTGAATTTCCTCCTCCTGAATTTCGATTTCCGATACGCTCCTCTTCAAGACGTCCATATTTCCAAGGATGTGCAGTTTCTCGTTCTGCAGAAATTCTATGTACTTTTTTCTGTCTTCCTCCTCGACTTGTTTTCTCTCTTTGTCCGCTTTCACCTCGTTGGACTTCGCGTTGTCCTTCTCGGAGTTATTACGCTTAGGGGTCACGCAAACTTCTTTGGATTTCGATAACATAGACAACTGCTCGATCGCCTCGAGAAGATCGTCGTTCGATATAGCCAGTTTGTTTTCTATCATTTCGCACGAGTTCGACAGTTGGCTGTGTTTCTTTGGCATGGAATGATTCTGATTGTTATTTCGCGTTGGGGACAGCACGATGTTCTCGTAAATACTCGCGTTCCCATTCGGCGTCGCTTGTTGCAGTTCGATCTTTGTTCCGTTCAGTCGAATCGTTCCGTACGGCGAGCCTTTGGTATTGTTAGCAGCCTTTATGAAATTTGTTCCTTCGGTGTAACTTCCGTTTCTTTTGTTGCTGTTGTTATCGACATTAACGTTCTCGTAGTTACCGTCGCAGATCTGGGGACCTGAGAATCTGTGGTTGCCGTTCGGGGTGTAAACGGTGGCGGAATACTTCGTCGTGTGATCGTTGTTCGGTGTGCTCGCGTGCGACGGTCCAACGGAGACGTCGCACAAGTGATTTTCCACCTGAGCCGATTGATCTCTGCGACTGACGGACGAATTGCCGTTTGTAAGAAGCATTTTCGAATTTTGCACGGACACATTCTCGTAGGACGACGTGCCCCACGTGGTTTGCTTGCCGGTATCGAAGGAGAAATGAGGCTGGTTCTTCGACGGGCTCTTCGGGCTGTCGAAAGGAGAAGTGTAACCAAGTCTTTTGTCACGCGGGAGAGATCCGTTTGTTATAATTCTGCAAACATATGTGTACTTTTTTAATGAAATTAAATACTGGTGTATTTTCTTCGCGAGATAGAAGTGTAATAAGTAAGTTCAAAATAATTCCCAGAGACACATTTAATATTACGTAATAAATTTGTTAATTAATTCTGTCTTTGTAGTGAGGATCAATGTGGAATTTTTTCTTATTTATATTTTATAGAAATAATACAGTATATTATTATTTTGATTTTTTTTAAGATTTTAATTTACAATCATAAATAATTGATCAAAAAACCAAAAAAAAAAAAGAAAAATATAAAACATAGTAGTTACCGATTGGGCTGCCTCGGTTTTTCGACTGTGCTCTGTCTTTCGTACTCGGCGCACATTGCCAGGATCTCCTCGAGTCTCATTTTCTCATTTTGCCTTTCGACCTCTTGCTCCTTCAACCTCTCTTCCTGCACTTGTTTCCGCTTTGTCTCCGCCTCTCTGCGTTTGTTCTCCGCGTCGGCTTGCCTTTCTCGCAATTCTTCGAGGGAGCAATTGCTACCGACACTCGGAGTAGGACTTTTGACCCTCGCGTAAGCTCTCTTTTGCTCGTTGTATCTCGGATTTCGATTGAACGCCGGACTCGGCGGTTGTATTCGCTTGATATTCGGATTCGAGCCGAAACCATGAGCGGCGGATGGTCTCAGAATTCCGGGATTGGCGTTCCCGTCGATACTCGCGTTGCAGATACTCGGATTCGATCCGTATTTCTCCAGTTGCAGATACTCCGTGGTGGTGGTTTTCGTAACGATAAGACTTTGGCTCATGTCGTAGTCCCGATCGGCGAGGTGATCGAGATCGTTCGAACTCTGACAAGTCATACTTCGAGACATCAGATCACCGCTTCGAGCGCTGACGATTTTCGTTCCCGTTGTTCCGTACGACGGCGGTCGCGCGTTCTTATTGTTGCTCTCGCGATGATACGGCTTGCACGTCTTCAGATACGTTTCCGCCGTGTACATTCTAATCTGATTGTGATTCTGACACTGCAAGTTGGCCGCATTCGATCGATTTGGCGTTCCGAGTCGCGAGTCCGATCTCTGACGAGGCTCGTCGTGATAAACCATCGGGTTTTGCGACGGCGAATCAAGACTGTTGTTATTACTAGCGTTACAACCGTTCACCGGAGACTTCGTCAAGGACACCAGACTCGGCGATCTCGAGTGACCGAGGATCTGGTCGGCCGGAACGTTTGTTGTGAGAGCGCCGGCGGGAAAGACCTTCGGCGAGACGCAGTTAGTTCTGTTTTGCTTTGACAGCATTTCGAATTTGGTCAGTTTGCCCAAAAACCCGATCTCGTCGTCGGAGTATGAGTTTCTGGGAGATTTTCGCGGCGCGACTGGCGGCTTTCGCTCCAAGTGGTGGATCTCTTGCGGCTGGCCTTCGGGTAAGGCGAAGCTTATCGGCGCCATTGAGATTCGTGAGTGGGGAAGGACGGATCGTAGATGCTTTGCCTCGGCTGGGTGATTGAAGCGCATGTAGGTCGATCGACCTATCGATAACATGCAACCTGAAATTCATCGTATTATCTTTTTATCAACAATTAAGATAAACCAATATCTATACATTTGTGTAACTCTTATTAGATAATAGACAGACATACTGTCTTTTAATACAATTTAAAAACAAATAGATTTTGACAAAAAGAACATGGTCGCAGTTTTTTGTTCTTGTGACGCGCGATAATACATTGCACCACTAAATATCAAAACAACTTTATCATTTTTGCTTCCACGAAAGACCTTCTTTGTGTTGCTTTGTTGTCTTTTTTACGTCTGTGCACCAGTCACGGCCGTTTGTATTTAGGCCAAGGTCTCTTACCTTGCGCGAGTCTCACTGGCGAATTTATCGGCACACCATCGACAGACGTGTTTCCATTTATGGGATGAAGCGTAACCACGCCGTTATTGTTCTCGATCGCGCAGTGTACGGGCTCGACGCCGGTGCCGGCAACCAAAATATCCGCATCTCGGTTCGATCCCAGCGTGATCTTACCTGTATATGCAAGAGACGGGAAGAAAAAAAAAAAGAAAACAAATTTATTTTTCGATTGAGTTCGAGCGAGAGAATGTTGGACACGGTGAAACTCTATCTCGCGTGTTTCAAAGTTTTACTAATAGCTATTGCCAATCGTTTGTTTTTCCGAGAAGTAGCTTTGAATCACACTCGAAATGCGCGAGACATGAAAAAGATTCAGGAATCCATGATTGGAGGAGGATCAGGAAGGAGAGCGTGACTAAATACACGCGCGCTTCGCGCGCGCGTGTGTTTTGCGGTTGAATGAGAAACAGACGAGCGCTCATGCATTCCGATCGAAATTCCCGGGGTCTTAGTAATGCACTTCTCTCCGACGTAACGTGCTGAGTTACGTTTATTTTGGCAGCGGCTCCCACGAGTATCGGAACATAAATATCGACATAATCGAATTGTTTGAGTTTATATCGAAACGCGCAAGCGTGTTTCACAGAGGAGCTTCGATTCCGAAGGGCCGCGAGCGCCTCCGCGAGTTTACAATATTAATTTGAGCCTTCTGGGAATGTCAACGACCTGGCGGTCGCGAGATGTGTTTCTTCGCCAGATACACACAATGAAATTTTAATGCGCGAAAGAGCGCAATCAAGCCGAAAAGAGAGAATACGTTCGAACTAAAATTTTCTTTTCAAATAATTCGAGCACAAATCAGAGAGCGTACGTTTTTATTCCGCGATTGTTTTTTGTCGCTGAAATTCGCCGAAAGTAAAAATATTCTCTTGATGGCAAAACTTTTCTATAAAAATAGTATTTCGCAAATTTTGTTTCACAAAACGAACGCAACTTACCGGATTGCGGAATCGACACTCTCTCTCTCTCTCTCGTTTGGCAAACAGTTCGCTCACACACAATTTCCGTAATATAATTTCTAAGCTCACTCCGTTCTCCGCAACGCGGGTAAATCGTGGTGCATTCTACGAAGGACTGCAGTTATATTTAGTTTTAGCGCGGTCGTGCACTCTCCCTCTTGCATTTTCGGTCTTTTTGGAAATGAGTTGGCCGCACGACGCTCGCGTCGTTGTATGAAAATCTATATAAGTGTCCGACAATATCTAGTTGCGCGCTCCGAGCGACGGTTAGGACCAATTTTTTCTTTCCATCATGTAAATGCGTGCCGGGTGAATCAGACGCGTTTCGCCGTGATGTTTCGCGGAGGGACGTGCCGTGTACAAATTTATACGCGCCATTCAAATCGCGAGTGCATCTATTCTCGAAGTGCCAAATTAACGGGCTATTTAAATTCAAACTTTCGGTGAATTGCGAGCAAAAGTGTAATTGCAAATATAATCTGTTGTCGTTAATATTTCGGTTCGTGAGTAACGCGCGAGAGATGAGAGGACAGCTTACAAAATCGAGGTCTTCGAAGATCGAATTCTGCGCATTGTTTTACGCCGGAGAAAGTTCTCTTCGTCATTTCCGCGAGCGGAATAACACAACCACATAAATTTCAAGGAGACGAGATACATACTCTCGTCAGGTGAAACAAGCGGAGATCTGCAAGTGCGCAGATGAAAAAACGTTACGGCCTAATCTCACGCGACGAAAAGCGATAAGAATATTGACAAAAATAATAGGTTGTGTGAACAAACAGACTTTTCGCCGATGAGATCGCATCTAATGATAATTCAAATATGTATGTATGTATGAGTTTTCACATGTGTTACACTCACACAATCAATGAAAAAACTATCTTCTAATTGCATTGTATCGATTGTTCTTTCTGTCACTTTCTTCTAGCACAAACCCTTTCGAAGTTACGTAAGAGATTTATGAGAAAACTCGTTTTGCGACAAAATTGCGTTACTCGATTGTCACAGCGAACGGAAGATAACTTCCTGTCGATCAGTTCCATCCTACGCGTTCTTCTAACTTCGTGCGAGCGTTACGCAGGTACAACACACACATCCGGTTACGTTTATTTCACGTTAAAATACACGCTTATATTGTTTTCTCTTCTCTGTTCGCTAATCGTCTCCGCGCGACGTCGATTTTTTTTATCTCAACTTTTCGACAAAATTTTCTCCTGGAAAAACAACGCACTCTCGGGGGGTCATTTGGAAGTGGAGCAGAGCGTGAGGTTTGACTCACGCAATAATTTTATTACGTTCGCGCATGACGCACCGCGACTATATTTAAGGGACTTCTCCCTCTTCTTCCGTCAACTGCCAGATCTTCGAACCGACTGTATCCCGGAATCGTTTTTTTTTTCTTTCTCTCTCTCTCTCTCTCGAGTTTTTCCGCAAAAACAAAGCTGCGCTTTAATGTTCGACAACCGCGTTTGTTTAATCTGCTCGTCGCTTCGGCACGTTTTACGAACCGCGATATTGTATTATTTCAGGACCGCCACGTTGCTCGCTCTTACAAAACGAAACGGAAATGAAGGGCCTGTGCGATTCTTAAAACGGCCCTGCTCGCGCTTCGGGAGAACAGCCTTTACGCCATTTATATATACCGTACCGTTTATATACCGTGTATGAGCGCGTGCAAGTTTCTTCGTTCACACACACGGCGCGTGTACAAAGAACTAAAATGGAGAACCGAAAGGTTTGTATGCAGTCTCGCGGTTTCGAGATGTTTCCTATCGCGAATGTACTACGTCGGTGAAGTATTGTGAGTCGTGTCGTTTTTTTTTCTCTTTCAGTGGTAAACGTATACGTTTAAGAGTTTGAACGATAAAACAAGGATTTCATTGTCACTTCTTCTCGGTGCATTTCCCGTAATATCGGAACTAAGAGTATTGTATTGTTTCTCTCGAGTCGTATACATTCCGTTTATTGTTACACGGATAATAGTTTCCGTCGGTCGTGAATCTCTCGATGGCGCTCTCGAGAACGCTTTTATCAGTTCGAGCGGCGCAATTCAAGTCTTGGATTAAAACAGCGAATGAATCACCAACAGTTACGTGGCGATGAGCTTATCTGTCGCTACCGTGGTCCCGATTCAGTTTCAATCGTTTCTATACAGATGACAGGAAAACGGGCGAATGGAGCGAATGAAGCCGGATTAGTTTTCATTAAGCTCTTCATTATCTTCCACGCTTTGCAAACACGCCTTCGAAATTTTCGCAATTGCGCAAACGCGCGATGCGTTGCGCAAGTCGCGGATATTTAACGTCGAACTCCTCCTCGAGAAAGAAGTTTTTTTTTTTTTCGTCGCCGAAAGAAAGGAAAAGGGGTGAGATGTAAAGTTCTCTTGATGAACGTCTTTGTATCTAACCTTCGGGCAGAGGATGCAAAGTCACGGCCGTCGACAGTCGTCCGCTTCCCATGGAGACGAGATGCGGTGCTTCCGTTTGCACGCGCAACGCTCGGCCCGCCTCGTGCACCTCGAGACCGGCGGCCGCTATGCCCGCCATGCCTGCAAAACAAAAAGCATTCGTAATAAACGCGCACGGTGAATTAGCAGGTGAGCCGGTGAAACCGGACGGACTGTGGGAAACGTGACGATCCGTCAATTCCCGCGAATCCAATCCAATGTCATTTTCATTCAATGCCCATTTATTACAGCTAAGTAATTACTTGAATTTTTAACACACAGAACAAAGTTTATCACACGATTTTCACACGACACGAAACAATATTTTTTAATCTCGGCGTCGTACAGATAAAACAAAAATAGCAATTAGATGAATTCGTGAGAAAAGGAAAAATCTACATAAAAAAATTTATTATAAAATTTATTATAAAAAAACGATGCAGCACAGAAACTGTAACAGTTAATTTAGCTAAAAGGATTTGCGTTCTATATATATACACTGAAGGAGAAGAAAGGGAATGGAAGGCAATGATTATTAAAGTTACGCTGTCGATGTCGGACATACATATACCACCAAGGGGGAAGAAGGTTTATCGTGCCATATTATTAGCTACGACGAACAACCTCGTTGAAGATTATGGCTATCGCTTCACGAGAGAGAGATCGATCCAGATGAATTCTACGAAGTTTCACGTTGGCGGATAAGAATGGAGAGGATTGCTCAAAAAGAAAGCGGGGAACGAAAAACCGGTCTTCCCGCGAGACGAGCAACGATTTTTCTATTCTTTTTTTTTCGCCCTCCCTCCCCCTTCTCTTTGTCATGAACTTAGTTCTACGCCAGGGGTTCTTAACCCTTTTTGCGACCTATTGCGTCTTGCGCGGATATATATGGTAATTCCGCGCTGAAATATAAAGTTTCGTTAACAACTATTTCCGTTTCAATTATTGCAACACACGCCGCCGATTGTACTTGCAAATCACAATACCTATAAATTGCAAGAACTCATTTCAAATCATATGACGTGTGTAGATAAAAATTACTTATTTAAATCATAACTCGTTTTTATCTAAAAATAGACTTGTAAGAGATAAAAAGTACCCGGATGAGAAAGAAAGTGGAGGAGCTTCGATGATGCTTGCGGTTGACGCCATGCTTGCGTGCCGTTTATAGGGTTGTTCATCTCATGTGAATGATCTTAACGAGTTGAAACAACTTTAATTAAGCGCATTACGCTAGGTCGTCCTGTTGAACTTTGCTAAACGCGTCTGGCCACGAGGAAGTGATGTATTTCACTTGCAATTTCTGCACATTAGCGGTTTATGCGGCAAAAACCGCGTGTGGAAAATGCACGCGAGAGAAAAATCTAAATGAAATCTAAATGAGAAAACACATATAAGCAATGAGATAATGTTGCCGTGAAATCGCACAATAAATAAGACCCAGAGAGATAAGTGTTGAAGTTCTCTCTCTCTCTCTCTTCTCTCTCTCTCTCTCAAAACCTTTCTCCTCTAATACTCTATCACTCCACTTTATTATCTGTAATCCATCCTGTACGAAGAAATCTCATGCGCGATTTTAGCGGTCTAGCCCTGCGGTCAAATTAAACGGCCGACTTATGGCGCTACACACACGATCGTGCAGTGCACCCACAATCTACTTAAATTACACTCCTCAGATTTCATCGGCCGGTAATTTAAACTCGACGATTAAGACGCCTGGGTTTTCGTTGAATTTCTCTTCTTTCGGTTGAGACTGAGATCTTTATGAGGAAGCAGAAATCTTATCGTTATCTCTCGGGGAAGGGATTTCGCGCTCTCGCTCTGAATATCGCTATATCGTCACTTCGTCTCGCGAATGTTGGCGCGCCAACCCGAGTCTCAGGTCAACGTTGCAAATCTGTTGGGTCATCGGTTTATTGCGCAGTTCAATTTTATCGCGCGAACGAACGAACGAACGCTCTCGGTAAATCGCACTCGGATCGATATACAACCGCGTGCTGTCTCTATTTCTCTCTTTTTCTTTTTCTCTCTTTCTCTTTCTCTCGCGCTCGGAATACCAAAGCCGGGGCGTTTGATAAGATATTCGATAATAAACAGCACGCGCACACATTCAATGCCGCAGGGCAATGAAGTATATTAAGTCGATGTGATCTGTCATCACGTACGCAATGTGTAATCACATGTGTTACACTTTTGAAAAGAATGCGGGATGAAATGCCACAGGTTTTTTGGGAGAAGAAAGGAAGGAAGATGTTATCGGTTAGGTTGTAAATTAAAAAGAAATTAAAAAACATTTTTAAGCTCTTCGTCGGAACTTAAATTTAAATCAGCCACGATACGTGTACTGAAAGTGCAGGTGTATCCTTGCGCTCTCGCGTGACCGGTAATCGAACAGTGGACATCTGCCTATACATGCAGCTGAGCTCATGTTTTTACATTAAAAAATTGAAAAATTTTTTTAATATCGCACGCGCGTACTAAGTTCAAAAATTAACCTTGCACTTTTTTTTTTATTTCTCTATTAAAAGTAACATTTTGAATATTTGCTCACATATTCATATTGAAGAAAAAAAATGGTTTATATAGAATGATTCAGCTGCAATAAAAAAAGAAGATAATTGTTGAAACGTACGAATGTATCACAATGACGTTGCGCAATTGTGTCGAATAACGAAGAGCGTGTAACTTATCGAAAAACAAATTAAAACCAAACATCGAAAATAAATGAGAGCAAATTCCTCGCGAGTTTTTGGCCATACATGATCGCCAGCTTCTGACAACACATTATCGTGCAAATACAGTTGGCGCGAACGACCTTGGACACCTGATCTCTCGCTCGGTTTCTCGATAGCGATCTCTTTTTTTTTACCATACGCGCCGCGGTTTTTTCATTTGAATCGAAAATATTTTTTTTGTGCGTCGCACAAGCGCAAACACGTTACACCAAGTGTGCGGAGATCTCGCGCACTTGGAGGCGCGTTAAAGAAAAAAGATACGCGAAGGAGAGAAAACAGCGCGAGGCGGGCGGCAAATGGCGAATGCAAATGTTTGCTCGCACGCGAGACGATAGCACACAAATGATAGCACGGTTTTAATGAAAACATATATATAGTTACGCCTCTCTGTCTTGTGCAAATTGTAGCTCAACGCCTATCTAATTGTAGATTAGATTAGTCAGTTTTTTGTGAAAAGGAAGCGCGGCATTTTGCTTCAACTCGACCGAGGGATGATGTAACTCCGTTAATCGGGACGACCGCGCCACCATCGACATACTTTTTTCGACGGGGGTTTTCTCAATGGGGGTCAACGGCTCGCTCTCTATTAGTGATCGTTAACGCACGCACTATATAAACGCACTGGCATAAACGTTTACCGATGACGTCAGTTACGCCACACGCGGAATGATTTACAATATAAATTTCTCGCTATGCGCACGTCGCCTACAAAGATACGAACCTTATCTCGAATATCTATCAAGATGTTTATACGGAGAACCAAACACTATCAGAGCTTGAAATATTTTTCTTCTGATACTTGTATCAAGAGATATAAATAGAATCGTCGAATTTACGGGAGATTGACTTGAGATTTGTGCGAGCATGAAAAATGTATTATAAAAAAAAAAAGAAAAAATGGTTTTATTCGCAGATAATCATCTCGATCGCGAGATCTCAACAGCTGACGAGGGAGTTTGTTACGAATCCTAGATTAAAAGAACGGCATTAAAGGGACGGTGCGCGTAGACGGTCCTCTTTTCTCTCTTTGAGTCTCCCGTCGCGACGGATGCGGGTTTATTTACAGAAACCGTTTTAGCAGGAAGAAGCACGTTCGTGTCAGGTACCGACACTCGTAAGCACCGCGCGTCCGGTTCTGTCCGCTCCGTTCCGTTCTGCCGCATATAGAACATCCGTTGCAGCAGCGACTCGCATACGTGCAAGCTTCGTGCGCTTCAAGCGCGTCTCAGCGCGTTCTCATATGCACATAGTATTGTATATGAGATTCCAATATTGTCAGCAATTTCATTGTACATACATACGTACCTACATTGTCGCTCGCGACAAGTACGAGGAAATGTCAGAAAATGTTGTTGTCGGAGAATAACGAACGAAAATATTACATCGATGTTCGTCGCGCTTCGCTGTTACGATATTGATTGTCGCGTGTCTCGATTTCAAAAGAACAGTAATCGATTTCGTTCTAAGCAATCATCAACCAATAGAGATTATCGAACTGAATAGTCGGTGACAAAAACAGTTTGCTCGTCAGCTGTGCCGGCCGGTACGTCAGTCCAGAGATAGATGACTAATTGTCTGAATCTAAGGCAATTGAGTCCAAGTAGATGTTAAATCTGACGTCTGCCGTTACACAGCAATTACTGGCGCGAGGAAAAGTCGGTCCAGTCGAGACAGAGAGAGAGAGAGATTTGATAGGCGACTTGGAAATACAGCTCAATAAAGAAAACCAACGAAGAAACACATAACTATTGCGTGATAATCGTTCGTATACGAAACGTTTCACGAATCATCAACTTTGCTCGTCTGGCGACAACATCTGCCTGGCAACCGCATCTTCCTCTTCGTCTGTTTCTTCGTCCTCATTTTTTACCGTACGTCTCTCATACGTGCAGTTCCTTTGGAATAGCAGCATCCCGTCGTCTGTATCATCCCGTCGTGGTGCAACTTACTTAAACGTGCGAGATATTCAGAAAGAAAGTGCAATAAAAATATAATTCGCTTATTTATTTATCATCTCTGGATTTTCTTCTCTGTTGCTTTTAGTTATTGTTTCTCTTCTAAATATAGGAAAATACGCGTTGCGTAAAGATAGTGAGAGGTCCTTTTTTTATCATTTTCTAACACCCAATAAAAACTCAATACCCACTCGTTTGCCCACGAGATTACGTGGGCAGAGATGAAATCCGGAGTCTGCGCTTTGTAATTGTTGATTACAGCGCGTCATTCGGAAATTCAAATGATACACGCGTATTAGATCGGTTATTAGAATATTAGATAAGACCAACCGAGGAAAATACCGCCTCGTCACGGTCCCTGAGGCGCTGCTCGAAGCGAAAGTCGTGCGGGAACGTAAATAGTAAACGCGTATAATGTATTAAATCATATGTTCAGGAGGTCTTTATTCCCAAGGTCGATCTACCGGCGTTACAAGCCTTTTGAGAAACAAGCATGCTTAACGACATGTAACAGGTTTTTCGAGCCGGTATTCGTAACGCTCGTGTACGCCTATTGCATTATTGATCCCCTTCTGTTTGCGTTTCTTCTCGGTTGCGCGTCCGTACGTACCTACATACTTACATGCCTCGCGGAAATTTTGTACGACGAAAAAACAATCTTTCTCTTTTGCATCGTTCGATCTACGCGAGTTATGCTAAGAATCGCAGAGCGAGGAGAGACGCGCGAAGGGCGTAGAAATCGTGACGTGACGCAATGGCCCGCATAAAGGCAATAGAAATAAATGACGTTAAATTGTTGGGTGACTCGTTTTTAGCGAGAGTTCTGTTACTATACGGCAGAGAGAATGAAACTCCCGGAGAGAATAAGACGAGCTTGAAGATGAGATCAAGACGACGTTTGCGTATTTATACAGAGTCGGATGACGGCCGCCTTAGAACCAGAAACATAAGCAATTGCTGATAGAGCGCTGATTTCTTTTTTAGTTTGTTTTGCAATGTGGTATATACTTCGCGCTTGCGTAATGTGTCTAACTATATTGAGTTTTTTTTTTTTTTTTCAACCCGAGACCAATTCCCCCTCCCGACGAAAAACTGCGAAAAGGGAGATTTATATTGCGGAACGACCGGGCACTTTCTGACGCATTGTCGGAAGACATTGTTCGGTATTATTAGGGACGTACACGCTGTATGTTAGTAGGCTACGGGCAGCTGCTTCGCAACGGACACCTCATAGGGTGCAACAATGGACGAGGACGGTTCGTCAAATCGATCCAGGATTGCGCCCGAGACTGCATCCAGTTTGTATAGTGAGACAAAAATATATTATACTGGAGTTTTCTATTCAAGTAAATTTAGAACAAAGAGATAAAGTTTCTTTGAATTTCTAAATCTTGGAATTCACACACAATGTGTGACAAGAGAAAGTAAAGAACATATGCTACAATTTCTTTTATTTCTTTTTAGTTCAAAAAAAAAGTTGGACTAAAACAAGATGTGCGTTTGCTTCTTTGTTCGCAATGTTTTTTTTTTTTTTTTACTAATATTTCACGACAAATCAAATTTTTTATTTTCATTTTCATTGATTCGACTCATCAAGTTTCGTTAGAAATTGTCTAACGAATCATAACAAATCATAATCGAGATCTCCGAACGAATACAGGATTATCGTCCATATTCTTCATATCCCTCGTATCTTGCATATCGGCAAGGTCACGACCTCCACCGAGAATCGTGACTGGATTGCACGGAGCTGTTCAGGTCGTTGCCATCATCACGCCGTCACGCTGTAGTTACTCTCCCGCCACAAAGTTCTCATTCATTTTTCATTTATTTCATAGAATTTCCTCAGCACATGTTTTCACATCTTTTTTACACAATATTATTCAGAAAAAGTTACCGAATCTTTTGCTTTAACAAATTTAATCAAACAATATCGCGAAACGCGAAATATAATAGATCGATTGACCGTCGAACAAAGGAGTGGCGATAGTCGCGAGTTACTCTTCGTAGACAAGAAATCCCATTTAAATTTTCCACGCTTCAATGTACATTCCATTTGCCGAGCACAGGACGTAAGGCGGCATTCTATTTCATGTTGTGTGCGGTTCAGCATGTCAGCGTCCATCGAAATACAACTACTCGCGATCGGAATGCGAATACTATGGTAGATTTGTCATCTAAGAACTTTACAACCGACGATAAAATATACAAATTACGAGAGAGAAGTTGGAAAAAGCGGAGCAACAAAGATACTCTGCTTATATTTGTATTCTTGATTTTTTTAGATCAACTTTCTACGTAGAGAAAGTTTATCTAACGATAAACTTTCAGAGTCAGACGAGTCTGTCCTTGGCACATCCACAACAACCGGAAAGTTTTTATTCAACACGTGATGTCACGTTTATACGACAAACACAGAGCGCTCAATTCCAATGAGTTGATGTCCCGCAAGAAACTTTCAGTTTCCGTTATTACACGTCTAATACGTAAAGAAATTGTGAGCTCGCGCTCATAAAGTTTCTTTTTGAAAATAAAAAGAAACTTTAGTACATATATATAACGCAGAATGTGTGTGTACACAAAATTTAATTTTGTTAAATTTCTTTTTCATTTTTTTCTTTTTATCTAATAAATAATTTGTCTAGTAAATCATTTGTATATCTTCGTCGTGTTCGCATGTACACACGCATGTCTCAAGAAAAACAAACATTTAACGAAAGAGAGAGAGAGAGAAAGAACTCACCGAAATGACCTGAAAGGGTCCAAAGACTCAGATTCCAATCCCGCTAAATCTACAAAGGTCCGTCCAGGTAGCACTCCGATTTTTTAACGCGTCCACCAGGCACTCATAAGTACAAGAGATCCGACGCTCGCGAACACTCATAATTTTTCCGCGCGTACGCACACCCGCGAGTTTGGTGATTCCTTCGTTTCTTCTTTGATTTGTCTTGGCGAAAAAAAAGAGGGGATTTCTTTCGCAAAAAACCTGACGTTCGTTCGACAGGCGCGGCGCGTCGCGTCGCGTTGCGTCGCGTCACGTGCCGCCTTATGTTGTACTGTCGTGGCAACGAGTTGTCCGCCACTCCGTTTCATGGCAACATCCACTGTACGAAGGCGGACCCGCTCGGCGATTGGTTGGAATGTTACAGCGAAGGGGAAAACGGAGGGGACTTTGTTCTGACAGAAGTGAGCGACAGTAGTACTTGGTTTTGAAAAATTTGGCGGGATATAACATTTACAATTAATGTCGTAACACCAAGTCACAAAAAATTCGAAGAACCAAACGCAGTAAATCATATATACGCATTCTCAGATTTTTTTTAATTTTTTTTAATATTTCACACTAAGTACAATTTAACTTCCCCATTTGCTAAAATTGCTGTCCATCATTTTTTCTGGCGTGACAGGCTGCAGAGATGGCGGTAAATAAGAATAATCGTCTAATCTTGATGACGTACTCCACACCGGATAATTAGTCTCCTCGGTGCTGCTTAAATCAATCATCGCGTTTTCGAAATATTCTTTTATAATATCATCCGGATTTGGCCAGCCATTCTTTGGCTGAGGTAACGATTCTTTGTCATTTTTGATTGCAACTGAAAAAGCAAAGTTTATCTACTGTAGGTTAATACGGAGCGATAATAATGGCGGAGTGATCGATAAAAAAAACAATTACCGAGCCGTTGAAGTTCCCATATCATTGGTGGCGTGTAATGCGAAAATCGACAACTGCTACCAAAAGCGCAATCTCCAACTGTCATATAACGTTTGCACGGGGTTTTCACAGATTCCTCTTTTAATATTGTTTCCGGGTCTAAAAATTTATCGATACTGACATAATAAATCGAAAGGAGGAAGTATTGGGAAGAGAGGTTATGTTCAAAAGAGAGAAAAAAGAAAATATTATAGAGATACAAAATTATTGAATTTTTTCAAACTCACCTTTGTATATTGCGTAGTGATCGGCTCGATTTTTCGCGTGCTGCAAACTGGACAGATGTTTTTTACGCGCATCGTAATCGTCCTTAAAAGTTCTGTCGCAATAATCGCAATAATACGTTTTGCCCATTGACGTGTGTAATTAATACAGGGAAAATATAAATTTCATTAATGTATTGTTTTATTGATGCAACTAGCACTAATAGTCAACAACAAACCGTTCTAACAACAAAGGACGCAAAAACCGACTAGACATAATAACATCTAGGAAGCGACATCTGGAAATCAGAACATTAACCATGCTATTCATAATATTTTTATGTTTTCAATCGATACGAGTTAAATCCCGAAGCGTTTAATTCAATTTGGCAAATTGACTAATCACATTGCTTGATTTCCCGAAGTGACGACATTAATCGTCTCAGAGGCAATTCAACTCGTACCGGTTAAAAACGGTATTTAAATGTTTCACATTTTGATTAAAATAATCATGGATTGCTTGGTCGATATTTTCATGCCGTAATGGAGAGTAATAGCGCCTCTGTCGCCTAAGTGGCAAAGAAGCGAAACAGAGACCCGGAATGTTTATTTAAAAAATCATTGTCGTAACGACACTAGCACACGATGAAATATATTCAACTTGCTACAAAAGAAGGCTCAAAACGTCTTTGTTTATTTTAAAAAAACTACTGCAACGACGTATTAATTGCGATTTTCATACAATACGACTACGTACACGGTTCTTACGTCTTATCATAGTTTGATTGATTCACAGTTTGCAAATGTGAATCTCTAATTTGATATTAAAAGTTAAAAGTCCGGTACCATTTAGCGGGTATGTATTTTAAACAAATGGATTACATGTAGTGCGCTGCTTGTTCAGCAGCGCGATCGTGTTTTTTTTTGTTTTTTTTTTTTTGTTTTTTTTTATTACATTTTATTCTTACAGTATATTTTACCACAACTTGTAGGTATCTTGTGCATCGCTAAACTATTAATACGTGACAAAGTGATGTATCGACAAGAATGTCTACTATTCGCAACGTTTCTTTCTCGGTATCAATAATCTCTATTCAAGAAATGTTTCTTCAATCTTCACACAATGTTTGGCATTAAATTCGACAACGTTACTCGATCATAGATCATTTTCGACGATATACCGAAGCTTTTTTTTCGCATTAATTTTTCTACAAGCGACAATCGTGGATAATGAGTAAATGCGTAATCGTATAAGCCAAGACACGCGCAACGTGTTCACAAATTAAAAAACCTAGGAAGTAAAAATCATGACTTTTTTGCACAATATGTGAAATCGAAAACTGAAAATTGGAAGATTGTTTTTTTTTTTTTTTTTTTTTTTTTGTGATTATACAAAGTCGTGGATTTTTAATGTTTATGTGTTGATAGATATACGATATAGAAACTTTAGAATTTGAATATCGGAAACGAAGTATTGTAGATATTGAGAATTGAGAGATGGCGATTGGTGACTATTATATCTGTATATATTTTATATCTCTTCCCGCTGAACAATAGCTGCACGTACCATTGCATGATATCAATTGCGTGGAAGTATAATATTGCGTTAGAATAGACGATATACATATATTTATGTATATATATCTGAGGACTAAATTACAGAAATGTTGTTTTTTTTTTTTGTTGTTTTTGTTTTTACAATAACTGCGTGCAATTATTGCTCATATATAGTATCAATATAATATACCAGGAATGGTCGCGCAATATTGCGATTTAACACGTTAATTCGCCGGTGTCTTCAGCGCGGTACAAATATATTCGGTACAAATTACAAGTATATAGAAGATAAAAATAAATATCGCTTCGTAGAAAAACGCGTTGGACGAACGTGAGAAAGTGAAAATAAAAAAATTCCGCAGTATACCCTGCTTTACGGACGAATATAAAACCGGCATTAAAGAGTAAACAATTGTTTGAATAATTTCAATTGTAAACTTACTCTCTCTTGTGATGTCGTATAGCTGACGCATTTTTAATATTATACATTTTGAATCGTTTACTGATTGCTTGCCGCTACAATCACGCACAAGAGATAATCGATATTCTACACAAGTTAACACTTTTTTTTTTTTTTAGGCCTGATAAAATAAATTGCCATTTCAAAGATATTAAAACGTACATCGATTCTAGCTAATTTACACGAAACTAGATCGCAATCAAGTTACCACTAGAATAGAAACAATTGTCTATATTCGGGAAAGACCTTGCCATTACGCATAAAATTAAAAAATTCAATAACACGTAAACTTTATAGAACGAAGTATATTACTTTGGTTTTTACATGAGAAAATTTGAGCATGTAAGCTCGTATAGAGATCATTAGTGGAAAGACCTTGCTCGGTAAATTGACGGGTCTTTTTCAGCTTTTTTTTTCAAAGCAGCCGTGTGTACGTGTGTGCATGTATCCTGTATATATTACGCACGCTTTTAGTCGGTGCAGTAGAACCTCGATTTAATGGATAACTTGATTAATTTCTTATTGACGATAGGCCGATAAATTGTATACGCGGTTTTTTATTCGTTTTAATCGTATTTATTTTTTATTATTTTAGATATTTATATTTTAAGCGCAACACCGCGCGAGGAAAATCTGAAAAAATTGAAGAGATCGAGCAATTTGATAAATTGTGAATTAATATAGAGAGTAATTTGAATTTTAGTTTAAAATTTAATTGTTGTATTAATTTCTCCGTTAAGTGGAGGTGCTACTGCATTAGTAATATATATAAGCACAATAAAATATTCTTCTCTCAACGTTTGAATTTGTCAAGTTCTTTCTATATCCCCCACACATTATGGAAAAAATCTTTCTAAATTTTTACAATCCTTTTCTAAAGTTAACATACAAGTTGAATAATATGACGATCAAGATTAACCCCTTCAGTTCACTCCTTCGCTTAGTAGGTTATAGCCTGCTTCTTTTTCTTTCCTCAAAACTTCCAAGGGAGAGATGCAATCTTACATATTTTTTACACTTTCCGCATTTAGAAAACAGAACGGATGTACACATCTAATTTTTTTGCAGGGAGAGAGACAAAAAAAATTAGATAGAAGAAAAATCGTAGAAAAATGTAGAAAGTGCATTGTATAATCAAGAAATATACTTTATATATATAATATATATATATATATATATATATATGTATGTATCACATTCCGTTTCGACAATATTCGACAATAAAATTAGAAAAAAAGTAAAGTGTGCTTTAAACGTTTATGTGCACAATAGGAAAAGCATTCGAAAAAGTCAGATTTCTGTGCTTAATGTAACTTTAGAATTCGGAGTGACTACCGAGAAACAACCATACCGTTTATTTTACATAAATACAGGAACTTATACAGATAAGCATGCACTTTGTGGTACTGGTACACCGTAATGCTCCGTGTATCATGCGCAGGACATCGTAGTTTATAAAGTCTATCGTTAGTTTTTTTTTTTTTTCTTCTTTTTTACATACATTCCGGCTTAGCATACCTACCGGATAGAAAGATGTTGCATATCTATCAATTGGTTTTCAAAAAGATCGTAAATTGTATCGGGCAATATCGCGAGGATTCTATTTCTTCTCACACATTGAGTTTCTCTATACATCTTCTTATCTCTCTTTCCGTCGTAGTGTGTCGCATCTAGAAAGGGCCTTCAAAGAAATCTGCCGTCTGTCATATTGTTCATACGTGGCAGTTATAACTCATAAAAGTCGATAAGAATGTAAGAATAGTTTCGAGAAAGAGAGAGAGAGACAGAGAAAACGGCCATACGACAAATCATATTAAATATACACACACAAACTCGATCTATAGGGATTGACTTAAGGAACAATATTTTTTATTTCCCACAGTGCTTTCTTTTTTTTCTTTTTTTTTTTTTTACACACACAACGACTTCGTTCGCAAGAAAACTTTTGTCGATGTACATGTATTCATTAAACGACAGAGGATTACTTAGATGTTCCGATTTGTATGCGTCATCGGTCGTCTGTATACACCACGTTCGTAAGGATCCTCATTCTAGTCAAAGTAGAAAGCGTGTAAGTCTCACTGGTCCCGGGCGAAGGCTGGAGATTAATTGTCAAAAACGGTAAAATAAACGGTATCGTTGTTTATCAGCAATTTGCGATCGACCGAAGTGAGATATATATATAATCAAAGTCGTTAGATACTTTTTTTTTTTCCTGGAAATGCCTCGCACAATTTACGCGTAATAATGCACTATATATATATGTATCGTTTTTTTTTTTTTTTTTTTTTCACGGATGCTACATTATTATGTAAGATAATAGGAAATATAAGGGGGATGGAGTTTCAACCTTTTTAAGAATGGCACTGGCTGTAATAAGTAATAATAACTTTTCTCCCAGCACATCCCTACGTTCGAGGTTTAATTAAGCGTCTTATTTTTTAGATTCGTCGGCAGTAGAATGGATGTTGACTTCCTGACGGACCTTGTGTCCGCGGAAACTCGCTTGGATCTTAGTTGCAGCCTTATGCAAGTCCGGATCGGCCAGGTCGATCCCTTCTAATTCATTCACGGCGTCTTGCATCTGCAGAAAAATTTGAAAGAAACAACGTAAAAACACAGAAAACTTTGCGCGTCTTCGTTTCATCCCTAAACTTTCCCGTTTCTGTTGACGTGTGCACAGAGTTTTTCTGATGAATCTTATTCATATGCACACGTACGTGGGATATGATGATGTTTACCGAAGTTACCCTTTTCTCTTATCAATAGGGTTTGAGTGTGTGGAATCCTGCTGAGCAACTACTAGCTCGTGCGTAATTAATCGACGTGACGCGAAAGTAAAACGTAAACTTTGTAGGCCGTGCCGGTCTACTGATCTCGGGACGAGCTTTTACAGCATCCGATATATGCGGATGATCATCTTCAGCTTGGAAGGCAGCTGTCGATTACTCACTGAGTATTCGTAGACCGTCGTAATGTCAAAGGGTCTAACAATAGCTTTCTCTCACGAACCTCGTCACAGAAATGATCGATCACGGCGACCTTGCGCATCAGAACCTATCATTACTCTGCTTCATCGATCGAATCAACGTTTAACGTATCGGAATGATGAAAAAAAATTCCTTTGATTACAACGACTTAGCTATTCATACTTTTTTTAGAGCGAGCGATGTATAATCGTGTAAAATCACGGGGGAGCGCGAAGGCAACTCTTACGAAAAAAAAAAAAAAAGAAAAAAACACAACAAAAACGAATCGATTAACGAACTCTACTTTTCTGGCGGCAAAGTTGTGTTTGCTTTCTGATCGGTAACTGGGGTTACTACCCTACGGAAACTTTCAACTCTGTTTTTATCGCAATTAATTGCTTTGGCACTTTCTCTATCTTTAATCTCATCCTTGACACAAACGAATTTATTATGCGAGATAAGGTCGATAATATAATAATTAAAAATCAAAGGTGATTGCCACATATTCTTAATGGAAAACGAACGATAACCGGTAAAAGTTCTCTTTTCTCAATAGCGAGGCATATTGAGTATTGAAAACTCTCATATCAATTATTTACATATTCTATAGAACTTATATAGGTAAAAACTTATATAGGTAAAAACTTTTCTTGATAATCGGGGGCGTAAGTCGAGTGAGCTTTGCATAGGGTCAATAGCTCGTTTAAGTTCGGTCGAGAAGGCCAGATATGTGCCAGATAGAACACAGCCTCTCATTTATCTAATACTCTCTGATCGATTGATAGCAGCGGGTCTACACATTTAACGAGAGACTGAAGGGGTTAAACTCACCTTTTCTTCGATCTTCGTAGCCGCGCTCTCAACCTTGTTCATCGCTGATTTAGCGGCTGTGACGGCCTGCTCCTTTCTCGACATGTGGCCTCGGAAAGTCGCTTGTATTTTTGTCGCTGCGTTGCAAAGCGCTGCGGAATTAGACGTGTTAATAAAGTGTTAATCTATTTTTTCAATTAGGATTTATTTTCGAGCACATATAAACATTTTCTCACCCTGATCGTCGGCGGAGAATTCCTCTTGGAGCTGCTCCTTCGTAGGTTCTTCCGTAAATTCCTTTGTAGATTCCGAGGGCGCTTCGTCGGTTCTCGACGAGGTTTCTGACGCTCTCAGACTTTTCCTAGCGTGATGTCCACGGAAAACCGCTTGTATTTTCGTGGCCGCCGCCTCTTTCTCTTTCTCGTCCTCTATATCTTTTTCCTTCTCCTTATCCGACGACTTCTCTGTCGTTGGCTCCTCTGTTTTTGAGATATCTTTGAACACAAAAGCAATTTTCAAATAATTTTACAATTGTACGCGCGCGCGTATGTGTGAATTTTTAACAATTAAATCAAAGGTGTTTTGCTTGATACCTTTGAGAGTGTTTTTCTCGAAAGAAAACGAGAGAATGAAAAGTATAAAGTAATAGAACACAGTGTGTCGAAGTCGTAAGTTTCTTGGCACAGGATGTGATTTTGTAATGAGCCTCTGTGATAAATTTTTCCTAAAGGGGTAAGCAACTCCTCTCTCGGAAGTTGGTTCGGCAAATTCGCAAGTTACTTGAAGAAAGGGCGCGGCTTCTGGGATACATCCCGTATATTAGAAATGGCCGCCGTGTTAGCCACAGTTCACCTACATTTATTCTGAACATTTCACCTTCCACATACACGGTTCGGAGCGACAGGTATCGATTGGAGTTTCTATTTTCGCACTGCATGTTCGAGATTGCACGTCGCCTAATATACATTTTTAAATATTTCGCACCCCGTGACCGCGGACGCGCGGTGTGCGCGGACTAATGGTCAATCGATTCTTTCAATCTCTTCGGTTTTTCTGTTTAATTTAAACTCTCGTGTCCCCAATGATTAATCGACTACCGACGTATTGACGTGCCGTAGGAATTGTGTCACGTTCGTTCGACGCGCTTATTTCACGCGGCATTATTTCTCTTCGTGGAAGTCGTAAAATGTTTCCTCATTTCTTCCGGCGGGGGGAAGAGAAATGAGAAAAAATAAAAGATTAGATTCTCGCATCGTACGTCGAGAAAACTATTAGGGAACGTTCCGCTGAGAAATACTCTCTCTCTCTCTCTCTCTCAAGAGAGTTCGAAACTCCTTTGACTTAGCGCTATCCCCTGCATCTTCTTCCGAAATGCGATAACACACGTTCCTCACGACTGATCTACGTGATTTGTTTTAATTACGATGATATCACTCATTTGATGTGAGAGAGAGAGAGAGAGAGAGAGAGTGTGTGTGCTTCAGACTCAACGGTCAAAGATTAAAGCGAGGATTGAGTGTGACAATATTGGAAGAATTGCATTTTCCTTAGAAAAAAATAAAAAAGAGAGAGTGCACTTCAGCTATTGAGCGCTTTTGCGCGACACCGTTTCCCTAGGTTACCGCACACTCGAGGAGAAGCGGCGAGTGGAAACTTGAAGGAATATAACCGACACTTTCGCGCGGCGGAGTAATGAATTCTTCCGCAGCTCTATGCGTCGTCTCTCGGCTGCTGTATGCCGCATTGTGAGCAAAGACGTGCGAATCGAGACGCGTATCGTACAAGTTCGCGATAATTTTTATTACGGAGACGTTTATGTTTATCTGTACATCTTGCACACCGTATATGTATATATATATATATGTGATGCGGTAAAAGCTTTCGAAGAAAGCAAAAAAGTGCGCGGAGAAGAAAGGGTAAAGAGCCCGCGCACGTTTTACGCGCGTGCATAAAGCACGTATTAAATTTCAGTTAAAAGCGCTTTATCCGGGCTGTGCTCCGCATATTTGCACCGCAAATTTTTATTTTCAAGTACCCTTCGTTCCTCTGTTTTCTTTACGACGACCATGTTTCTCAATTGCTCTCTGTACTTTCTTTACTTTTTTTTTTTGTATATATCACGCAAGGATGTTCCGCCCGATCGATCCACCCAGACCTTGTTATACCATTCTCAAGGAAATCAAACTTCCCATTAGGGAGGAATATCGTTATCTTCGTCTCATGAAGCATTGTAGTGAGTCATAAATAGATCAACTTTATCCCATGAAGCTATGAGCTAAAACTCTCGCTTGTATGTTGCGGAAGATATTTTATTTTTATTTCGAAAATGTGTGTCGCGCTAACTTTTCTGCACCGAGAATGCTATTAATTGTTTAAAAAGTTGCGGCAGTAAGTCCAGAGCGATAAGCTCTTTCATCGGCTTTAAGCGACGATATTTTCCAATTAAATGGCATCGTCTGGTTCGTAAATAGAAAACTTGTTTCAATTTCCAGTTAACGAAATTAATTAATTGAATTCAAAGCGATTTTAGAAGATTTAAACGGTTTTATCATCGCGATGAAAAGCGTTTTATTGTCCTTTCTCGGAAGTGTAAAAACAAAATAAAAAGAACGCGATAAATCTAAAAACGATAAATCCGCTTTAGTAGGGAGAGGGAGGGAAAGACCTACAAATCTCTCTCTCTCTCTCTCTCTCTCTCTCTGGAGATTTACTCTTTGGTGGAGATAGTCCTTTCTCGCGAACGTCCGGGAGAATTTATTTCGCGCATTTATCAATTGGTTTACGCCCGTCAGCTCCTGCGAAATAACTGTCGGATACCGAACAGCTGATCTCAAATCGCTTTCGTGCGCAACTACTTCCTCCGCTTCGTCGCTACCGATAACGATCTCTTTTCACCCGACCGGTCATGGGGTGTTCGATATATGTCGTTTCTCGGTTCGTATATATTGGTGTGGAGTAAGAAGTAAAAGGGTAAGAATTAGCACGTCCGTGCACCTAACAATCGCGTCGTCGATCATCATTCGGCTCCTCCTCGCGCTCGATACGTGCGATATTAACGGGTGGCGGATGCGATTCGCGTGTCCTGAGACAATATCACTTCAACCCCCGTGCCTCGCCGCCTCTTTTAACCCCGTTTTTCTCTCTCCGACGGTCCCTGTGTCGGGGCATGCACGCGAGGATCGTTCCATCGCAAGGCGGCTTTCGGGTCGCACTCGCGCTTGCGACTCACCTGCGTCGGAAGCACGTCCGGGCGCTTGTTCGTTTGTACGTTTGTACGTTTGTACGTTTGTTCGTTCGTTCGCTCGCTCGTTCGCTCGTTCACTCGCTCTATCGGGCTTTTTCACCTGCACACATCCACGCGCGACTCGGTCTCAAGTACGACTGACTGTTCCCGGGCACCGGCGACCCCGTTTATAATAGCGGCCGATCACGGCCCTGCTGCGCCGCTCGTTCGCAGTCGCAGTTCTCCGGATTCTCGCCTCGCGGATCTTGTCGCGAGGCGAAACAGGGCCGTCGCAGGTGTCGTTCAACCCTCCGCCCGCCGTTCCGAACTTTTTATTTATTTCTTTATTTACTCCAAGTTCTCCCAGCAACTTGGCCGACCGCGTCAACCCGCGTCAGGGTGATTTCTCTTCAAATTCCATTAACCCGCGAGTGCACAAATGTTTTGATCCACTTTGAAAATTTACCCAAGTTAGAGAGGAATTATATTTTTTTTTCTCTTTTTTTTCTTTTGGAAACTTAATTTCTTTCGGAAAAAAGTGCAAACTGCGTTTCACGCAATTTTCGCATCGTTTGTAACGCTTGTAACATTGTTTATAATTATTACAAATAATTAAAATTTTTATAATATTTATAATAAATCATACATCTGCAATTGCGCTTTTTTAGCGTTCTATTAATTGTTTTTTTTTTTAATTTTTTTAGTTGTATGTCACAGAGGCTTTTTTTAATATATATATTGGCTGGTGAAAAAATCATCATTTGCGCAGGTGCGGTTACGCTAAAAATATTGAACAATATTGTTTGCTACAAATAATATATATTATTCGTCGTGTGTTATTCTCTCTCCCGCCGAACGTTAAAACCATTGGCGCTGCGCTGTTTTGAACGTTTTAAGCGCGATGGGGGATGATACTTTCACGGCATCTAAATCACCAAGAAGCCGACGATGGCACCAAAGAGGATTAAAGAAAAAGCTGACATACACAGTTTACATCCTCTATTGAAATTCTGTTAGTGAATAATATTGCATTATATGTTTTAAGCTACTTATCTGATACTTGTGTTATTACGCGCTACACGTTAAAGATACTGTTAAAGCTAATGCACAAACAGCACAATGTTTCACAATCTACACATTCAACTTCCGTTGATAAATCATAGTTGCAATATGAAGGTTTCACGCAATCGTGTGTTTTTTCTCTTTTTTTTACAACCATTTTTTTCTCTCTATTCTACATACACACATCCACGCGCACACTTAAAGAAAACTGGAAACTTCTTTTCTCTGCTCGTTTATATTTTTCTATTTTGTATAGAAAAAAAAGCATTGAAACTGTTGCATCTTGAAAGTCGATACACGTTAACTTCACACACAGAACTTTTCTATATCGTCGTATATATACACACACACACACACACACACAATATATACCTATATTTATCATTCTATTTAGCATTTCTGTTCGACCGGAATATTATGTGAGCTATATAGCTGCAATATCTGTGCAGGTATTGCATCGGTATTGATGAAACCCATCTCTCGCATGCGGAAATTCATCCAAGTTTCAAATAATTGATTCCGCTCGAAGTTACGTTAGACTTTTACTACAGCCAGTAAAGCAGAAAATGCCGAAATTCGATAATGGAGTTTGTGTGTATCAGCTTGAGATAAATTTTTGTTCACAATAAAACTCTGAACTTGTCTACGCGGTGCATTGTAATGTGTAATTCGCGTTTAGAAGAAACATTACCTCTTTGTCAAATGTGAACCAAATTGGAATTAAACAGATCAATAATCCGGTTAAAGGGAGGTCTTTCGCCAGACATGAAGGGTTGGACCTTGACATATATCACGCAATCGGTACTGCCATCGGTATTTTGATACACCCCCATCGAATTTCGTGCTATTTTTCGCTTGTCAAGATATATTGCGTTCTGTCTGACGTGTATATACCGTTAACAAGAAACCGTATATTACCGTACATTTATGAAGAAATTGCAACCGCACGTGCAATAAGCGCGTTCTGAAAATCGTAATAAAACACAGAAAATACGATTGACATGTGCGAGACATTGTAGTTCTGCAAAACACGTTATTCTAATTTCGCAAATTTATTTTACTACTGCATATTAAACTAAACTAAAAAAAAAAAAAAAATGATTTGATCGTACAAAAATAATTTCGCGAAAAGTTGTCCATTTTTAGTCTTTCGCCGAAATTTTTTTTTTTCTAACAATTCGATCTTGTTTTGTTTTGTCAGCACGATAATCGAGACCGATACGCAACTCGTGGAACGTGGAAAAAAACTATTATCAGCTGAATGCTAAAAAAATTTTTTTATTCATCATCGCGCACATCGAATGCATTCATTACGCAGAAAAAAAAAAAAAAACAGTCGTTCGTCCCGCCGACTTTGCTGATTGCGTTGATATTACTGAAGCGTGTACGCAATCAGCTCGAGAGATCTAACAAAGTGAACAGTGAGGTACATTTATCACTCGTGAAACAAAGCAGACTCTGTCATTGTCAAAGATAAACAACGTCGAAGTTCTCGCGACAGTCTCGCGAGCTGATAGAGATTAAAAAAACTCGCGTAACGATGCAAAGAAAACAAAATAAAGCCATAAAAAGCCATTAAAAATACAATTTAATCGTCAATATACAAAAGTGTGAATGATAAATATCATGCAGAGACGCCACTGACACTGAAGCTGCCGAAAGCAAGATCGCAAGATTTTGTTGCATTGGCTTGAACGTTCGCTGATGCTGTCTGTGCAATTACAACAAGGTAGAAGGGACGACCTCTCACCCCCGTTCTTGACGGAATCGCTTTCTTTCGCTTCTTCCACCGCCGGCTGGACGCTCTCTTTGCTGGTATTGCACCCCATGTTTCTTCCGTGCGTTCCGTCTCCGCGAACTTATTTTATATCGAACGAAAACCACGCCGCGTCGTTGTGAGAGAGAAGAGTCCCGTATTAATGCGGTTTCCTCGTTAACATCGCGCTACCGAGAAGTACCAATTTACCACTTGTTCCTAATAGAAGTAGCGTCTTCTTCGCAGCAATCGTGGCAGTTACGCTCTTAACTTCTCGAGAAAGTTGAATTAAATGCATAAATTATTTTTCTTTTCGCTTTTCTTTTCTTCGCGCTTCTTTTTATTATCTTGTGTTTCTTTTGAATCTTTTCTCGGTCTTCTCTCTTTTTCAATGATTCAACGCGAAACCTCGTTATTTCGCTTTTGAATATTCTTTTTTCTTTTTTTTTCTTTTTCTTTTTTTTTTAAGTGTGTGTCATTACTCTTATCCCTCTTGAGAATTAAATACTTCTCTTCACAGTTCGTTACGTGTATAGGCTCTCTCTTTGAAGTAGAAAAGAAGCATATCGCGCATCTTTAATTGACTGAAATTCGATGAATTTTACTCACGGTTGTACAAACACATATATCCTTTCTCTTTCTCGCTTTCCTTCTCCCTTTATAGGCGCGTGTGTGTGTGTGTGTGTGCGTTCCGTCAGAACGTTCCTCCCCTTTGCGCCCACCCCCTTTTCCTTCCGGTTATTCGGGGGTTACTGACACGTCGCGTAGCGCCGACACCTGTGAGACGATCCTTCACACTCGAAAGTGATATCGAGCCTTTCTCTGTTACGCGTCTTCTCTGTCGCGTCCGTCTCTCCTTGATAAAGGGGTTTCGCCGGTCGATTCGTTGGCTCAACGAGAGTCCAACATCACGGGGTCTGAACACACAGACGAGAAATCCCGTCGACGTCGCGAACAGTACTGACGTTACGACCCTGCCCTTGCTCGCGTGGCGACCAAATGACTGTACCAGTCGCGCTATATATCGCCGATATATATTCGCGCCACGCAGAACCCCCGGTTTCTCGGAGCGGAGGCGGCGGAGGCGGCGGCGGCGGCAGTGGCGGCGAACACGCACGCGGAAGAGATCGCCACGTTTCTAGCCACGTTTCGGCCGGCGGCGCGGAGCGGCATGCTCGCGGCAGGAGCTAAAGCGCACGCCTACAGTGTTACCAATGTATGGCGATTGTCCTTCTGTAAGGATTCGACGCCGATAATCGAGAACTAGAGATAGATGTATATATATATACGACGCGACGGGTCGTTTCGATCCGTTATAACTACGTCCCGATCGGCGTACGCCGCGAATAATGATTCTATGTTACATCGCGCGTCTCTAACTTCTCAAGACTTTCCATAGAATCCGCCGTCCGTCATCCGTTCGGTGCGAATTCTCGCGCGACCTTAAAAGCTCACGATCGATTTCACAGACGTTATTTCGCTCGTCTAGACCATTGTCGTCAGACCGACCGTTGCCAGACCCGGCGCCAGCCTCTCGGCGTTCCTCTCGTTTTCTGGAACGAATATCGATCTCGCGGTTTTTACGGGTGCACGCATTACGGCAGCTCGTTAATATATCTCGGTCGTTACGCCACGTTAGGGTGGAAACACCCAGATTGGGATAAGGATCACGAATGAACGAATACGATTACTTTTGCATTTTCGTGTGTGAACGAACAAACGTGCTTATTTGTCTGGAGAAATTTTGTATTAATCAAACCATTTGTTTTTTTTTTTTTTTATCGACTTATTTTATCAAAATTGTTTTATTAACAATCGCAATGAAAATATAATTAAAAACTTCTAATATTTCTATAATATAATATGTATGTGCGAACCCGATTACATGTCAGCTGTACTCCACTTATAAGCTTCTTCTTGCCGCGCTTTCTTCGCGTTTTGCGTTTCGAACCACTTTTTCTCGTATCCGTTGCTTCTGTCGACGCCGTCCCATCGATACCCAGGTTTGATACCAAATCGATTTGGCGCGTACGACCCTTGATATTGTGGCGGATCTAGAATTGAGATTATTAAATAATGACGATGTGTTTCTCTGAGATATATGTGTATGTAATATACGAAAGACTGTTGAAATAATATCAATAATTTTTTTGCGAATTTTTATGTACATACCTGGGTTTCTCTTTCCTTCTTTTATCTGTTTTTGTTTTATGTATTCCAACATAGGATCACCGTCTTTCAACTCTTCTCTCAATTGTTTATCCAAATCTGCGTCATCCGCGTATCTTGCTAACGGTTTACTCATCTCGTATAAATCGTCCTGTAACCTTTCCTCACGATCTTTTATTTGCTTCAGACTAAAAGAAACCAAATTTTCAACAATTAAAGAAAATTAACGATAAGATATTAATGGTAGTGCAATAATTATATGTTTGATGAAACATGAAAAAAATAATCGCTCACCCTTTGCCCCATTTGTCGTATTGCTCATTTAGTTCTCTTTGACGTTTTTCCTGTTCATATTTTTCCGCCGCTTCCGCTTCCAAGTTACGCTTTCTTCCGCTCTCTTTGTNACGTAGAATTGGAGCTTGTCCTTCTCCAGTGAACTCCATCTGCGACAATTAAACGTTAATTTTTTTTTTATCGTTGATATCCACAGCACGCGCGATAATAAATAAATAAGAGATTGAGTTGAAAGGCCGATCCGAGCAGTAAAATACAAGTTGGTCGTGTATCACAAATAGTCTTTATTAAATTCAACAGACGTTTCGGTCAAATGGTTTAGACCTTCAT